ATCGTATTCACCTTCCGATCCCGCTTACGAGAATGATATTCACCTCTATGGAATTTTTGCCGTGAGTGCGTGATTTATAATGATGTAAAGCGATATTTTTTCAAAGTTGAGATAACAAATTGAAACATAAGAAGTATGAAACTACGTATGTAAGCCTGTTAAACACGTGTGAATTGTAATTTCATCATCATGCTCTGACACAGTAGATGTCATAGAAATCTAAGCAATAAGTGAATGCCCTGTAATGAACATGTATACGTCAAAATGATTTTTTTGAATTTGACAAAATTTATAATTCAAAATGTCATAACGTTAAATCATATTTTGTAGACTAATAGTCCGGTGTTGTTTCATCCAAAAATATGGATTTTGAACTAATGGTTCCATGAAGAGAATTATGAATAAAAAGCTTATTTGCAGCTGGTCGGGGTTAAATACGGGTTCATTCTATCTGACAATAAAATATCATATTGTTCCTCGGAATAAAACCCATCTATATTGAATCCATCCCAGTAAATAGTCTCTATACATCTTTAGAAATTTCAAATCAATAAATGATACTGCAAAAACAGACACCTTAACTAACATTTACATGAAATTAATAAGTTGTACATGTGTTCATACCAGAAACATCCCTTAAAATCATTTCAAAAGCCATCAAACAGTTTTGGCTTAAAACGTATAGACTTTACATTTCCGAGGTAAGCCAATCGCCTTCATTTTTCTCCATTTTGTGTCGATGGTGACATACTTTAGTCTCCGTCTTTTTTGTCGACGGTATTTGGCGTTTGGAGACTGTAACAAATGGCAGGTGGTGACATTTTGTATGTTCATGCCGTTGTTGCATTTTGTAGAGAGCAAGATAATTCAATTGAGACAGTTCCTCGCATCTCATCTTTCCACAATTCAGGAGTCGCGTGCCAGCACAATAAAAAACATCGATACAAGGTGAATTACACTTGGTATAGCGTGGTTTGAAATGAATTCTTAAATGGATAGCTTGAAAACACATTCCTTACATCAACTAATGGTCAACATTGTCAAATAATATACAATAATATTGAATATCACTTTCCATGTCATCAAGACATATTGTTGCATGTAGTTACTTTATAGTTATTTGAATGATGACGTAAACATAGTCTTGAAAGATATCCAGAAAGGGAAATTGAGAAATGTAGATATTCTAAACACTGTATCTTTAATTACAATCCCATCCAGATTAAATGTTAAAGTTGACATTTAACTTGACACTTAACGTACAAATATAGCAATCACACCCATGAAGAAAACGTGCAAGATACAGTATGTAACGCTTATAATATATAAACATGTACTGTTCCGTTTTTAAAGCATTCAACATAATAGCTAGTTTCGAAATATCACATGCTTTCGTGTTTTGCGCAAATAGAGCATGTCTAGATGCAAATGTTCCGTGATGAAGAAAAAATTGCATGTACCATTTTGACAAAAATTCACAGAAGTCACGGAAACGAGGGCATTAGCAAATACACACTACAAAGCACCCATTAACAAATATAACACCATTTAAAAATCATTCCTTGGTATTTTAGATGCCCAATCTGGAAGCGTGGAATTATCAAATATTATGAGAGATGATTAAATAAATAATTAATGTTTGGGATTAATTCGTTTTAGATAATATATGTACTATGCAAACTTGATCTCCTTTACAATTTCGCTTGCCATTTATCGAGCTATCGTAACATGCAACACATATTACTTAATAATAAGTAAAGAAAAGGTAAAACATTAAAATAACTACTATACCTTGTTCAATGGTTGAATTTGTTGAGTCCTCTGCACGTCCGAAGTAGTAGTCGGCTTCTGTACTGAGTTGCAGCTTTGTGTCTAAGGCACGATTTACTTTACAGCTTAGCAAAACAATGAATATGGCACTGGTATTTGCCATATTAATGCTACTAAGTAGTGTTAAGAAATGACTACCGTTTCGTTCTGAGGTTTCATTACAAAAAGTGACATTTATATATACATGTTTATAATATTAATATTTTAGATATGGTCAAGGAGCAAGTATGTCACGTGACATAGCACTTGTTTTTTAGAGTCACCCCAAGGAGGAATGGCAGCCATTATTCAAATGCTATACTCCGTTGTCTGCAGTGGAACAATTTGGTAAAAATATTTTAATAAGCTTCTTTTTGGACCAAGCATTTTGTTGGAAGATGGTCAAGATGAATATTATGGTAGTGTTCAAGCTTCCTTGGCAATTTTAGTCTTCAAAATATGTGTAATATTGTTACAAAATACTCTAGACCGGGCAACGGAGTATCAAGTTTGAATAACGGCTTCCAATCCAATCCTCTTTAGAGTTACCAGTTGCATGCTCAAAAATACACATATGGTATATACAAGACGACCAAATAATAACAATTTCAAAAAGCTATCACTTTCTGGAAGTTTTCAGAAATTATCCTTTCTATATGTCAAAAAGGAAGTAAAGGGGATAAGCGTGGAGGGAACATTTTAAATATTTCTATTACACGGCCTTTTAGCGATATCATAACTGAAACAGAAAATGAAAATACAAATATGGGAATAGCTTCTTCTTTAAAACAGAAAAATTCTAGCGAAATAATTTCCCAGTGTTAATGTTATTTCGCAAAAATAATTGTACTGTTTGTATAAAATTACTTTTTAAATGTTATTTAATTTTTCCTTAATATCAACTTTTATAGTACAACTCGTAACAAATGTATATCTTTTATTTTATTTTTTCTTTATACTACATTACATGTTGACCCTACTACATAAAAATGTCAAAATTAGAAAAATTAAATAAATAAATAAAAATGAAATAGTAAAGTAATCAAAGTGTTATAATCTCAATAGGGTGATAAAAGGAGAGTTTCAAAAAATGTACTTTCGTTGAAATTCTGTGTTTCGTTTACATTGCTTTAAAATTTATTCTTGCATTCTATTATATTATTATTGTATATTATCCATAACGTTTTTCAAATGGCAAGTACGATCGGGTGATCTTTTGTTCATTTTGTTTTCAGTTTTTCTCTTTAGTTATTCACAGATGCTGCAAAACAGAAAAACATATTGATTCTTAAATAAACTGACCCAGGTGACACATTGGACATAGCCATTTCTAGCCTTTTTGTCACTCTCCTTAATGGATTCTGTGCATGCTTGATTAATAAGGATCCATACTTCTTATTGTCTTATGGTGTAATAAAACGGGAAAACATCAATTAGTAATATCTAATGTACGTACATGTAGAAAAAATAGAATGCATTATCGTCATTTAACCCACCATTAATATTCAATTTTCGATTATCTCCAAGTCATAAGTTGCGTGTAGACTAATTAACCATTAAGAAAGAAAACACCAGAAGTTACGGTTTAACTGAGGTAAGGTTCGAAATATCTTTGTTGGTCTATGACCGAACCAAATATGTAGTCACATCAACTACCTAATACATGTGAGTTGCACATCTTTGATATCGACAAGCTTTACTGAAGAGCTTTTTGTTGGATTATATCTCCTATGCTTTAACTTATGATCAGTGTACCCACTTACTTGGCACCTACTCGGGCAAAGAAAGCACTCATTTGCTTCCTGAACGCACTTTCTACGTATTATATCACTTAGGCATCACAGAAATTATTTTATGGGAACAATTCTTCTAGGGAACCATTCTAAACCTTTTGGGAGCCATTAACATATATTTAGGAACCACTAGCGGTAACTAGGCCGTTCAAGGAATCTCTTCTTGGGCCAATGAAGGAAGCATAGAGACATACAGTTAAGAGAACCTCTATGGACATTTCTAGGGCCTGTAGGACTGAAACCATTTGGGCCTACTATATAGTATGGATCACTTCGTTTTATGGAATTCCTAGCTAGGAACTATGTACCTCTAAAGTCTACAAGGCGACTTCTTTGCCCATCTAGGGAAACCCTAGCGTCTACATATTAGGGAATCCTCATTGCAAACTAAGGTACCCCAAGAACCTACTGTAGGCTACTGGGCGATCAATCTCGCTTACTAGGATGTCACTCGAGCAAAAATAGGGAACGTCGGACATTGGTAGCCTATTTTAGGGAATATTTCCATTAAAGAGGGGTCTTCTCTGAAACCTAGCACCCCGGAATAGCTGACAACTATAAAGTCAGATAATGTTGTCACAAATGACAAAACCGTCGCTTCAATTATGTTTAATAGAGCACCTAGACTAAATTCCTTTTGGAACAACAATCAATCAAAGTGTCTTAATACTTATTGTACAGTTAATAATGTTCTACCATCGAAATAAAGTCTTCAATTTAACCGATCAAAATGAGATACGGGACAACGGACACAATAATTACCATATGCCATTGTCTTTCTAAATTACTCAAAAGGTTCCCTTGTCATTGACGATATCGAAGACGCTATATTGTTGCGATTCACGACCCCATTTGATCGAAAGTTGGATTTCATATAATACATTATCACAAGAGCTTAAAGCATGCACAGAATTAGCGACAATAAAATCCCATGAAATGAGGACCAAATGATTATTAGTTGAAGCAACGGTTATGTCCTCCATTTGTGACAACGGTATCTGACTTTAACGTAGTCAGGCTATTCCGGTGTGCCTAGGGATTTTGCTCATTGAGATCCGAACTTGAAAAGCGGGCAACATCGGACACTGCGCCACCGGGGAAAACAGATCACAGGGCAAAGTCGGACAACGGTCCAATTGCCGATGTACTAGAGTAGGCTAAATTGACCTGACCAACGCCTTGATCGCCGAACCCCGGTTCCATCTAGGTTTAATGGCAGAATATAAAATTATATTCATGAAAGTTCGTGGTGGATTCTGTAGGAGCAGCTACAGAAAGTAATTGTCAGCTTCTAAACCGTAATTGAAAATTGCGCCGGTAAAAGTTTCCGGAAGTCTCTCGAATTTTTGAACCAATCGTGATCGACGTATGATGCATTCGAGCAGTAGTTCAGGAATTCAAAATACTAGTATATTCTCTTTGGAGATTTTCAGCACATTTCACACAACGTCGTTAGTAAAGTAAGCTGCAAGGTGACAACGGCTTATCCGAGGTAGCCTTACCTTACATATTAACTCACTGTAAACACTCAAAATGATATGAAAATACCCTACGTGTGAGTGTGAGCAAATGTTAGAACAGTGAGAATATGTTGATATTGATATTGCTTCACATGGCTTAAAACGGTAGGTCATCGTGTCCCAATAGCTGAATCACATGCCACTTTTGTACAGTGTTTATGGTGTTTACTACCGTAGAATGAAAATAACGTCATATTAGAGGATACAAGTAACAAAAGGTCTTGCGAAATCTCTGACTGATACAAACTGTTTTTGAAAGCAGCGGATATACTGCACGATAAACTTATACAGACTGTTTAACTGGGGATTTGGTAGTATACAGGTACATTTATTATATTAACATACATTTCTGATCGATATGAATACACCGAGCTAGCCGGATATTTAACCTCACTATATCTTATAAATATGAGACGGCTTTAGTAAGTACTATTATCATATATCGGTTGTGTTTTGCTGATGTTATGTTGTTTTGCGAATGAGATAGGGCAAGGTGCCCCTCCCCTGTAGGTGGAGGCCCCTAAAGTAGCAATAATTGACAAAATTTGGGCGTTGCGCTTCTTCATGTGATTCCATGGCAAAAATAAGAAAATATAACAAATATCGTGAACTTTCCCGGCATGATCCGTTTTTGCAGAGTGCGGATAGAATTGGCCTGATCTTAAATGAATAACTCCTGGGGAATTTTGCGCGGAATCGAATCTTTTGAAAATAAGAATAATCATCCATCTCGGTAATTTTATGCTTTCCTTGTAGAAATGACTCACATATAACTAAACGACGCATATGATAAATTACATTAATTTTGTCATATTTCTTTTCCCAAAGCAGCATGTTAATGAGTAGCCTACTTTTCACGATAACAAGTGTTCTGTAGTTTCCCCATTATTTAATCAGAAGTTAAGATGTAAAGAAAAGTTAAGTTACCTCTTAGTTTGTTAATGTTAAACCTCAACTTCATGATATCGATTCAATATCAGATTCAGACTTTTCAAATACTGTACTCGAGATATTTCACAAAATTCGCAAGATATAAAAAAGTGTCGAAATACAACGAGAGAACGTATATTTTGTGATTCCGATCAAATAAGTAAGACCTACAAGTAAAGCCTGTTTTAGTGAACACCTCTCTCTATTGAGCACCTGTCTCTCGAAGACACCCTTCCGCACTCTACTGACATCTGTATAAATTACAGTGAACACCTACCAACACAGAACGTTTTTTCTCGGCAAAAATGTTCAATATACACAAAGGTTCTATGTAACACTTACTATGAAAATAAAATAATTTTGAATCGGTATTCGGATCGTTTTGTCAATAGAAAATATCATGGGTCAAATATGATATATTAAAATCAGATTCAAGTAAAGTTATTTTTTGATTGTTATGTGTAGATATGGTCATCTTCCTCGGAAAACGTTTGGCAGTGACAGTGAGACATTGTTCACTCGTACTGACTGCAAGGGTGATTCTACTGGCAGCTATCACAATACATATACATGATGCTACAGCAAGTAAGTTGGTGTTTGTGCTTTACATTTGTGTTTTACGATGTTTACTTTGCACTCTCCAATGTAAGTTTGTCTCAGTGAAGAGCAATATATTGCAAATTAATAGCCAAATAGAGTTAATCAAAAATCTTAAAATAGCCTTAGTTAAACAGTTAAACTTTAGTTTAAGAACCTTTTTACTATTGAAAATGGACTCAAAAATAACCAACATGAATCTACTTGCAGGTTTTCCCCATGTTAAGTCAATACACTAGAAAAGCTTATTTTCTCAGATCCGAAATCAAGTTGACCGAGTCTCAACAAATAGATTCATGTTGGATAGTATTGTAGAATCCATTTTTATAGTAAGAATAGCTTAAGCTTGTTTTTTAGAACTGGCTCTCAAATAACACGTTAGACGTTACAATTTTATAGAAATTCTAGTCAGTGCCCAATGTGTCAAAGAGATACACTATATATGGTGTCTAAAGTATTATAATTCACATTTTCATTTGAAATTGAAAAATACGAATGGAAGGGAATTCATGCTTGATAAATATCAGTGCACGAGGGGTGATCCAAAAGTCCTGGACGCCCTGCTCTATTTTTTGTTGGTTTTTGATAAAATTACTTTAAACTATTCAATAATAAAGACCAACAACCTAACTACTTTGTGTATTAATTTCATGGAGAAATGATATATTTTATATAGCTTTCTAGATGGTTTTTAATACAGGGACCCTGCCACCCGGAACGGTATTCGCATATGGCAACTTTCAGCCTTAAATGTTACATTCATTTCACTTGTTTCGCAAGTCTTGACCACTATATTTCTTTGAATTTTGAATGTTAAACCATCTTGTTAGTGTACTTCCTTTGTTACTAAGGAACCAATTAATTGTGTTTTGATTATAATGTCACATATGACAGTGGCCGTACATGTCAAATTCTAAGAAAATGCCATCAGACAAGCAACCCTCATTCTGGAATCATTTTTGCTTCAAGATGACTGTTGAAATGCAGAACACAAAAAAAATCAAAGTGGAACAAATAATACTACAATATATTTTCAGTATTATTGACCTTGACCAGCTACCATATGCATGATACATATGCATCTATGGCTCCGTGTGATTTTCTTCCTTTTCTCCAGGTTGAAAGGAGGGTTGAAAGAAAATGTTCTTTTACCCATTGAATGAGGTTTAGAGTAGCACTCCAGCAGCATTTGTATCACAAAGGCAATGGCGGTTTCATAAATGTCTTCCATTTATTGGTAAAGTGGGATGAAAAATGTGTTCAAATTCATGGAAAATATGTTGAAAAGTAGGTCTTAATATGTGAAGATGATGATGGCAGATGACACTCAGATTGAAAATCGAAAATTCTCTCATAATGTGACTGGTGTTAGGTTGTGCACCTGCACCTAAAGTATTTGCCATATTATAACAGTTGTGACGTGATTTGCTACATTCAAATACCGTTCCGGGTGGCAGGGACCCGCTATTAAAAGATATTTAGAAAAGTAGCTAAAATATATTATTTTCTTTTGAAACTCATACACAAAGTTGTTAAGATGTTGATCTTTATCATCTGAAAGTTTATGTAATTATATTAAAATATAGCAAAGTTAGAGCGGGGCGTCCAAGACTTTTGGATCATCCCTCGTATTAAAGTGTATAAATTGTTGATTCAAATGTTTATATTCTCTCAAGTGTTTAAAACGCGTCATTAAAAAGTTACCTTGATATAAAAGTCTCGTCAAAACAAACTTGTTTTTTTTCAGTAAGCGACTCCGATACTGACTATGGTATGGCTAACCAATGTCTCGATGGCCAGACTACTCTAAACCTTACCAACAACCGCAATATAAATATATATCTAAAACGATCTGGTATGATTTTGGAGAATCCCTTAACTTGCACAATAAAATTTATCTATACCACGCAAGGGAGTATGTACGTTAGGTTTTTTGGCAATTATAAAATCGGACTAACGGGGTTCTTCGGTATTTCCATGAGACAACGAAACAAGGAAGGGTAAGTACCCATGGCCCATGTGACTTGACATTATGTAAGCATATTTAGCATATGTATTATGATTTTGAAAAATCAATACTCTTCATGAATTCAAAGAAAAAAAGCAAAGTACAGGGTGTCCAAAAAGTAATGATAATTAAGCTCTAAAATTGTATTTGACAAGGTAACAGTATGAAATTCAAACAAATTAAAGGTAAAGATGTTTGCCTCATTTTGCTATATTACATTACTTTACACAAAAATATTCCATGTATGGTTGCCATAGCAAACCCGTATGCACGTTCTGCGGAGCATCTTAAAGTTTTCCATTCGTTTTTGAAAAATATTCCGTCTTTCCTTGCTGTTCACATTACTACAGTAGTACTGCTAATTTATTCCTCCGTTGTAGATCCTTCTTTAATATGCAAAACATACTTGAATTTTGAATACCTAAAGCATTGGATATCCCCCACACTGACACCGGTTATCCTGCTGTATTATTTCTTGATCAAATCGGCCGTGTCTTGTGTCCGGTCTGCCAGACCTTTTCTCTAATATTTCATCTTTGTTCAAAGTAAATTGCATGATGTAAACCTCTCTGGAAATTCCTGGGCTGTGTTCCCAAGAGTTTTCCTTTTGTGAAACCCTATATGACATTATCATCATGTGAATGTTGTCATAAAATCAGACCAAAGTGACAATCCTGTCTCAGTGAGATAAATTAAATAATATTAAAGCACTATGACATCATGCAACAGCAAACAGTTACCGTGACATTGATTTAAAAGCTTCAAAAAAAACGATGCCAGATTAACTGCTTTTCTACACGAGTTTGAAGATTTATGATATCAATAAAAAGCTCCGCAGAACGCATATTCTTGTTGCTACGGCAATCGTTTTATCTAGTTATAAATGTGATATAGCAAAACGAAGCCTACATCTTGATCTTTATTTTTTGTGTGAATTGTATATTGTTTCCTTATCAAATAATTTTAGAGCATAATTAGACTCCAGATGAAATCTGGAGTCTATTGTTTTTGCCTGTTTTCTTATTAGACTCCAGATTGAAAATCTGGAGTCTATTGTTTTTGCCTGTTTTCTTATTATTCCTTTTTCTTTCTTTCTTTCTTCTTCCTCCTAACAGATTTTCTCTCCAACTATAACATCTTACTTAATCCAACCTACATGGTTGACTAGGGAATGTATCTGGCTTTCTGGGAAATTAGGTCAAATTTTTATCTAGGTCGAAGGTCAAGAACTAGGTCAAATCTTACATTTTCAACATTCTTCATCATATCTTCGTCAATATTCTTCGTAACTCCTTCATCTTTTTTTCATCGTGTAGCTTAGAAAAAGGCGAATCAAAGATATGACATCAGAATTTTGATTACTCTTACCGATTTTGAGAAATGGCGTCTGGAAAGTAGGTCAGAACAAAAAGTTCTCCAAATTCAACATATGAGTTATGAAATAAGTGTAGAATGATCTCAGGAATCCGAATCTGCAAACTAAATTTGGATCGGACTTCTGGGTCGGAAGTTATGGCGTTTTGAAAGCTCAAAAATCGCTAAATTTGGTGCCCATGTTAAGTCAATGGGAAAAAAGACTTTTTCGAAGTGTAAAATACAAGATATAGACTGAGTACAGATTAACATAATGAATGCTTATAAAAGAAGGGGACCTCAAAAGCTACATAGCTTCAAAATTTGGACACCAAAATGCCTAGGTGAAAATCTAGGTCAAATTCATAGTTTTTCCTTATTTTTACGATTCTGACACTACACTTTAATAATTTACTTCAAAATTTTGTATACAGGTAGCAAAGAGTGTGCTAATAGCGTTAGCTTTTTGCCGTCAGAAAGTATTTTGTCCCACTTTTGAGATATGGTGTCTGAAAGTAGGTCAAAATAAAAAGTTCTCCAAATTTAACGTATGAGTTATGAATTAAGGGTAGGATTTTCTCAGGAATCAGAATCTTTAAACCAAATTTCGATCCAACTTCTGATTAGATAGTTATAGCGGTTTAAAGTCTCGAAAAGTCGATGTGATGATATCCCCATGTTAAGCCAATGGAGTCGAAGATAACATTCTTAATAGTTGTCTAAATGTCTATATTCTAGCTGACTTAGCTTGTTCTGAATGACTCAGCTTACAAGTATTTGGATGACTCAGCTTGAAAAAAGTCTGAAATCTGGAGTCTTAAATTGAACTTGTTCAATTTACATGTCTAGTTATTATTACTTCTGGGACACCCTGTAGAATTGCAACAATTCATATGCCGTAAACATAAGTATGTATGTTTTACAGGATAACCATATACCACAAAACACCTGAGGGGTATGAGTATGTTGTTGGAAGAGCTACAGCCAACTGGTTTGGAGCCAAAGGGTACGTACCGCCAATATTTCATTTCATGTTTTGCTTCAAGACCAACTCACTCCACTCCACTCCATTCCAAACAGATGCCCAGCTATGATGGACTCAGATAGCCAATGTAGGAGTTGTTTAAAATGATAGGGGTGTCTTCGTATGTATTTTGTTTAAGTTATTTTCCATGAGACAAGACAAAACGTCGTCAATAATAACTTATTTCATGGAAGTTCGTCTAGAACAGACTTATGTAAAGACAAAGAAGTATTTTGAATAGTTCCTCTTACACACATGAGACTCATTTTTAATAATTCTATTTTAACACATATAGGCGAATTCCACAGTACTGTTATATCAAATATGTATTTGACTTGTATGAAGTAAATTAGAGTAGTTTTATTCCGGTTATATGGGGTAGATAGTATAAAGTAGTATCATTCACTTTTTTGTAAGTAATGCAATGTTAATGCAATGCAATTTATATATTTAAGGCAATCTCTCTTATATAGATCATTATTCGAGCACTACCCTCGGTCTATGGCTAGACTGAGCACAATGAAGATTGAAACCCCGTTCTTCATTTTTTACACAGGAGATCCTGGAGATGATAACTTCCAAATACAGATATCACACAACGGTTTGTAGGCAGAAATACTTTATATTTGTTATTCTCATATATTTCAAATATCTCAGTACAGTACATAGTACCCCGGACAGATTGAATGATGCAGTCGTGTTTTTACTCTATATTTATAATGGAGCAACCATTCTTATTGAAATTTTCAAGATTTATTCTAGAGCCAATTTCCAACATGGGAAATAAATATTTTATCAAAATTTTCAATTTTATGATTTTTCCAGGCTTTTTTCAAAAACACTCCACTGTCAATAAAAAACAGGTTTTCGCTTGTAAACTTAAGTCACTCTGCAGGGTTCGTACACCTTTTTCAAAATGAAATTCCCTGACATTTCCCTGACATTTCCAAGCAAGAAAGAAAATTTCCAGATCAAATTTTGCATGCACGGCCTCATAAAAAGTCTCAAACAACTGTAATATTTAAAATACAAGACTTATTATGAAACATTGTGGGTTCTCCTTTAGCACCATTTCTCATGACTTAATTCACCAATTTATATATATATTTCCTTATTGATATTGAGTAAAACAAATTCTTGATAAGCTGTATAACATTGTGTATAATCACTTTCGAATTCTATTTTTCAGACTTTAACCAATGTGACGATAACAAAATGTCCCCATGTCTAAATGGTGGCACTTGTATTGATGGTCATATGAACTATACGTGTATTTGTAAAATCGGTTACCTGGGAGATCGTTGTGCCGAGAGTAGGTATAATACTAGAACATCCCTAACACAGTGGTTCTGAAAGAGACAAAATAGAAAGAAAAGGGAAAAAAGCTTTTGCAAGCAACATACAGCAAAAATATTTTTGTGAAGACAGACTTCAGATTTCCGTATTGCAAACCTGGTCTGTATATATGCTGTCGTGAAGACCGTTAAAAATCTACTAAACACACATTTCTTTTGTATTGTAATATATTGAGACATTTATACACCCTTGGTATACGCAGCTAACGAAAATTGACCGGTACGGGTCAAAAGCTGGACCGGTACGGGTTAACGGTTTTTATTTGAATTTAAAACAGCCAAAACTTGCTCAATATTGACTTCCTCGTGTCTAATTTGAAATATATGATGCCTCCCGATGCTTTTAAGTACCCCAATTTTTTACAGATTTTTAAACGGACCAAAACTCTCTAAATGCGTTTTGAGAGAGAAAAGAGCATAAATGCGCATTTAGAGAGTTTTGGTCCGTTTAAAAATCTGTAAAAAATTGGGATACTTAAAAGCATCGGGAGGCATCATATATTTCAAATTAGACACGAGGAAGTCAATATTGAGCAAGTTATGGCTATTTTAAATTCAAATAAAACCGTTAACCCGTACCGGTCCAGCTTTTGACCCGTACCGGTCAATTTTCGTTAGCTGCGTATACCAAGGGTGTTTATAGTTGCAAAGAAAAGAAATGATAAACCATAATAATTAAGTTAAATAAGGTTAAACAATGAGCGAATGAATGTTTTAGAGGTGCGCCCATCCTGTTCGATTGGTACTCCTTGTAGCAACCACAATCAAAAGTGCATTCAACTGAATAACACTCACCACAGGTGTGACTGTATTACCGGATATAACGGGCCCAACTGCATGGAAAGTAAGTCTTTTCTGTCTGGAAAAAAGTAAATATATACCAGTAGTATGAGATTCGACATACGAATCATATTGGATATTAAGTTTACCAAATAATTTTTTTCAATAATCCCAGAGGCACTCGATCACTTGCATGTACTCACGTTTTACAGTTTTGAATACAATATACATTGAATAATTATCCTGGTATATATCATTTTTGCTCCTGAAATTGAAGACAACTGTACCTCCGTTTTATACATTTGATTACTTTAGGTGTGTGCGAACCAAATCCATGTTTGAATGGAGCTGAATGTATCATCGTGACAAAAGCAAGATGTATATGTGAAAATGGCTACAGAGGGCCCTTCTGTCAATCACGTAAATAAGATTATAATATTATATGATCACTAATGTAATGTAAAGATCTCAAACCCTTGTTCAATAAACAATTGTCCCAAATGTACTGATACATTCAATTATAATTTGGCAGTTAGCAGTGCATATGTTTTATATGCATATGTATATCTCAATAGGAGTATGATGCACGTGCAATTTCTCCATGTGTATGTATAGCAGGTTCATTCTACATTAATAATGCAAACAAGACACTTAAACATTGCTAGAATAGTGTAAAATTGGTAAAGGGCATAAGGATAACATATGCACACATATAACCAGGGGCGTAGCCAGCTTTCAGTCAGGGGGGGGGGGCGATCGCCAAAAAAATCGTTTTCAGTCAGGGGGTGCGATTTTGGCATAAATTGAGTTAGAAGCCTCAAATAAAAAGCTCTTTTCTTCTATCTCATGGTTTCATTTTTATTGGTAATGGAGGAAGGGGGTGTCCCGATTGCACTGGCTACGTCTATGTATAACATACGATACATATACTGCATAACTAATGTCATTTATTCCAAAATTGTCTATGTATTGCAGATGTGTGCCAGGTTCAAAATCCATGTCGGAATGGTGGTACATGTATATCTATCACAAGATGGCCAGGATATGATTGTACGTGCACTAGTGGATACCGCGGAGATACCTGTAGCGCAGGTATATTCAACATTATAATGCAAACAATACACTAAAACATTACTAGTGTAAAATTGGCAAAGGGCATAAGGAAAAAAGCGACACACATAACATTACAAAACATACAGGGTGTTCAGGAAATAAAGATAATAATGTCATAACTTTGTATTTGTTCATGGATTGCATTGAAAGTTTCAGAGATTATAGTTTTAACATATTTTAACTTATTGTTGGAGTTTCAGCTTCAGGCAATTCGATTGGTTGATTCTGTGGTTGTCATAGCAACGCGAGTAGCGCTAAGGCGGGGCAGGTGGAATAACTGCAGTATATGTGCATGTTTTAAATGTTTTAAAAATAGATTCTATCATGTTTATGACTTAAAATGGGTGCTTAAACATAGTTATAACTATAAGCCTGAAATTCTTTGCCAATTTATCAATTTATTCTACATAATTTCCTCCATTTTAGACACAAACTCTTTGCCTCTTGAACCTTCTTCTAATACTTCACAGACTTCTTCTTGACTGGCATTTCCTGAAGTCTGTTTAACAAATGTGAATGTATAGCATGAGTATTCCCAAATGCATGTCCTCTTAAGTCCCGTTTTGATTCAGCAAATAAGTATAAATCATTTGGCGCTAGGTTGGGTGAATAAGGTGGATGCTCGAGTTGCTCTAATCTCAGCTGCTTAATTTTATAGTGATTATGGCAGCAATATGGGAGGGAAATTGTCCAAGTGGAAGAGAAATTGCATCCCGGGTCACTTTCTATGTAATGCCTGCATTAAGTCATGAAAGTCCCATTGAATATCATTAAAAAATCATTTATTTGACTTTTACATCATAAAACAAATTATTAGAAGAATTTTATCATGGAGATGCACCAAGAAGGCTTTAAATATGGAGCCAAAATCGGTTTGCCATGCGCTAAATGTTACACATAAACTACTGCAGTTATTCCATGTGCCCCGCCTTAGCGCTACTCACGTTGCTATGCAAACCACAGAAATGACAAATCAAATCGCTTGAAGCTGAAACTCCAAAAGTAAGTTTGAATATTTTTAAACTATGATCCCTGCAAATTTTATAGAAATCCATGAATAAATAAAAAAAGTTATGACATTATTATCTTTAGTTCCTGAACACCCTGTATGTACATATAGTGCCAAGTATTTTTTCTTGTTGAGGTAAACCAAGCCAGAAATGTCACTAGAGACATTGGCTTGTATTTTATGACACATTGTATTATAATATATTTATCTATATAATGTATTGTAAATGTGATGAATATGAAATAAAATAACAGTAACAAAAAATGCCTTTGATTCAACCACTGGTGCCCAGTTCAAAAATGTTTGCTCCGAGCCAGTGTGTAAGAACCCATTCTTCATTTCAGTGCGCAGTTATTACAAGAAAAAGCCTCAGCCATTGGGAAGTCGAGTAATTGCAGGAATTGTTTTCGCCAGTTTGTTCGGAGCAGCTGCAATAATTGTAGCGCTTTTCTTCATAATAAGAAGGTGAATAAATAGTCAGTAATTTAAATATTATGTCCGAATTACCCTTTTCTTCATCTTACTTATTTCTCTTGTGTAGCTACTAATACTAATCAATGGGATTTGGTACCAATACATGGCCAAATGCTAACTTAGATATGATAGAGTTGTGAATAGACGACTATTAAGATTTTATTTAAAATTACAGATACAGAAAACCCCCATCATCACCTTACAGGGAGCCTAATTCAATCGGATATGGTACCCATACATGGCAAAATGCTAACGATCATATACATCCACCAGTTCGAGACCACCCGACATTGACTCCAGAGCAAACGCATAGAGCGGAAATACGAGGCATGCTTCGTGACCTTGGCAGAGAGGGTAACCAATCAAATGCAAACAGGATTGATCACAACAGCACAAGCCAACCAACCACGAGGGAGCTCAATCCTATACGATCAGTAAATCTTGATAATAATTCACTGCCAGTTCGATATGACCCTAATGGTTCCCCACCCGACTATACAGAAGCTTTGGATGATAGATACAAACTCCCGAGCCCGGAGATAACCGAAGAACCACCGCCTTCATATGACACGGTTCACCTCAATGCGTTAAGATTAGAGAATGATTTCTACCCCCGAGCGTTAAATAATGAGCATAGCAATGCGAGCTCGAGTGAACAGCGAACGTTGAGAGGAGGAAGCACTGAAAATAATAATAACGAAGAGCTGAATAGTGATGTACAATCGCCGCAAACGACAGATCAGTCAGACTCTCCACGTTCACCTGGAAATAATACTCAAATCAATCTTAATACTTTGGCTATGCCAACAAGGAACATTCATGACACAACAGTAAATACCGTCAATAGTAATCCAGCAGTAATTGATAACGTCCCAATTGAGGACTTAGAAGAAACAATACTCTAACCTGAAATCGTATAAAAGAACATATATCCTAATTTATTGTGCTAACCATTTTAGGCAAAGCCCCGATTTAGAGGGGAAACACATATTTTCACAAATATATTTTTTCATATAAATCCCGATTTTGTTAATGCAATCCAAATTTTAATAAATGTTCAATGAGATACCCCCGTCTAGCATAAAACGATCTCTTAACGACACCTCATATTTATATATTTGATATTTTTCAACATATCCTTTATTTTAATAATGATATTAATGATGTCAGTTACAAGAGCAATCCTTTATATTACTCAGATAAGCTGATTTGGTAGCGCTGTTTTCATATCATACTTCTATACCATTACAAAGTTTGTAATAAATATAGTAAAGAAAATGGAAGGATTTTTATGAAGTGTCCGACCTTTCAGATGAGTAACGATCCGAAGGTGTACAGTACATGCAGTAGAACACTCTAAACAGGGAATCAGATCTTGCGAGCGAGCTAAAAGTCCCCGATAAATCGGATTACGTATACCGCCGTGTTTACATTAGGGGATTATAAGAGTTTATTTTTATTTAGGTATGCAAGCTACGTATATCAATATTAGGCCTTCATTCATGTACTCGTGTGCATGTAATCAGCATGCCCTTCAATATTATGTAAACCAGGCTATTCAAGTACTACATAATGTACACTATTTATGTGTGTACTACATGGGAATAAAATTCCCTGGGAAACAAAACACAAATACTTTTTATATGTTCAAAATGAGCCATTTGATTGATGCATACACTAAATAGCTTCATACAGTTGGGGACATAAATAAATGACAGGTGGATTTGCTGAAGTGAGGATTTCCCATGTTAAAAATAAGAGAATTTACAAGAGGCCATACATCAGTGGATGAGATTATACAAAATGTAAAATATACAAATTTTAAGGGATATATATCTAGACAATATTTGAAATTATGGGCTTTCAGACCACCATAATTAGGAAATGGTGATCGAAAATCGACCTGTCATTTATTTTTGTCCCCAACTGTAAATAACATCTACAAAGTATATCTAATAGAAATTTTTAATTTCAATGGTCAAACTTACTTGGTCACGATTATACGGGGAATCAACACGGAACGAAGATTGTTCACCTTCCTGGCTTACCTTTGAAGCCTGTACCTGGTAATCTCTTTATATAGGTTAGCGAGAGCGGTGCGCCTGCGCAGTTTTAAACTTTGGCGCACACTTTAACACAATTTGTTTCAATGGTTAGAATATTTTTTGGCTCACATTTTCATTGTCCCATTTAGACTTAAGAGACTTAACACTAATTGAAGATGTCTTGATAATTGTTTTGAACTTATTTTCGAATTTGGCCGCTGTGGAATGATCGCATAGCAACTGATGCGAATGTATTAAGTATGCGGTTATGTGATGTCATGTAAACATTACCATAATTCATAACATTATTGTTAGAGATTCATTAAATAATTTTAGCTATACACACATACCACGATCGTGACATGGAGCATTGTTTAAATGTAACGGGTTCAAGTTACTTAATATTATGAAGTAATTTTTGAGGTATTGTTTAAATATAAAGTCACGAGTTAAAAAGTTATTTAATGTGAGGTAATATAAGTTGTTACGATTTTGTACATTGAACCTCTTAATTCCTGTTGTAATGTAAGGTGGTAAGACTGTATGATTTAACACACATATCCAGGGATATAGTCTAACTGAATAATAGGCTTATTGAGAGTCATGGATTGAAGTCATAGGTGTAATATGATTGTGTTCTATATGCTTATTCCACGACCTTTAAACCATTTTATGTGTTATTTACGTACTGTGTTAATATGGAGAAGACGAATTGGATTAAACAAAATGGTTCGCATGTACATGTTCCATCGTTTATTTACACGCATTGCACAATATGACAGTGTTGTTTTTCAATCCAGATAGTAATGGTAAAAATTTATTTTTACATTTATTTTTTGAAAGGTTTCATTTTAGAAAGCTATTTTGTATTTAAGGTCTATAACCCAAGTTTATAACCTTGAAATAATACCACTGTCAACTAATATCATTTGCAATTAAACAGATAACTTAATTAACACATAGTCTACAGGCTGCTTCGATCATACTGAAAGTTTAATCTGAAATGTAGTTGGTTTCAATTTAGGACATGTTTGCCATTGGGCTGGTACTTTAAACCTCCTAATCGATAAATTATGTTCACAACACAATGTAGCCTTCAATTTACGTTTCGTCCAATCAGACTCCATGTTGATAAGGTTTGTCGTGACGCCCCTACATGAACCTTTGCTAGCAATTGTTGATAAACCTACTAAATGAACTTTGTAATACTAACCAAGTATCATGAATGTACTTAACTAAGGCATCGTGAAAAACAACACGTCAACGTTCAGATATTGATACATATAAGTTCCTATACGAGAAAAAAGAAGATAGACAACCGAGAATATTAGAATCAGATTGCAATCGCAGAAGTACGCTGGTAATAATAGGATGACTGAAATAAGCACAGAAAAGGTGTGTTCACTTATTTCCATTCAAGGTTAACTGTGACTGACATTAGTTCGAGATGACACAAATGCCAATAATAACAATAGTGAGCAGATATATATTTCAATCAACTTTTAAATTACTCTCAATGTATATTCAAAATTAAGAAACTGAGGCATAATGGGTCATCTGCTTGACCTGACTTATCTGTATAAGCGTGTATAAAACTGATTACTAACGAATTAATTTTTTTATTTGTAGATTCCTTTATTTGATCCTTCGGAGTGGAGACCTGAGCACAAAGAGCAGGAGTTATTCCGGAACTATGAGGTTAGCTATTCAACATGTAATGACATCTCAGCTTGACCCTTTAAAAGTTAAATATTTTTATGAACAATCTTTATGTCATATTTGATTAGAAAAGTAAGATAAGTGTCCCGTCATGATTTCATTTTTATCATGGATTGCTATATAACTTCCAGTATTCATATCATGTAACGACACTACTGGTGAGTTGACTATGTCTTATTTATTATCAAAGGCTCGTTTACATTACAAGCGAAATCATAACAGTTTAAAATGTCCTTAATTGACATATTAATGCAATATCTCGCTGTAAGGCGAACGACATTTTCAATATAATACATGTACATCGATCTACAGGGGATATACTCATGGCGTGGATATATTTTGACATACATTTCACTTAAGTACACATTTCATTTTACTATGCATGATTGCATGGCATTGTACTGAAGAAGTTTTTTGGTTCGGAGATATTCATATTTCTTTACATGTGGTATACTAGTATATGCACTAAATTACGTGACATCATTCATAAATAACATTAACATCTTGGCTCTTTTCATTTTGTTTTGTCTTTCTATCGGGAAATTTCCGATATCTCCGAAGGAGGACTTTAAGTCCAGTATATTTTATTTTATTCACATTCCAATAGGCTCCCTTTATTGGTTAACATGCTTGTATTTCAGCGGCACCGACATTTACCACATTTTAGGGGAGGTTCATGTAGTTCATTTTCCAGAACTTTTTCCAGAACTTTGTCAAATTGCATCTGATATATTTCCCATTACCCATTTGATACTTCACGTACTTTGTGATTAATGTAAGTCATGTTGTTATTATCAAATTGTCCCTTTCAAATTATAAAAAATCAAAAAGGCCATCTATGAAACAATTGATTTTTATTTTCATCATTATACACAAATACACTTCGACAATATATTTAATATTTATAACTGCGACATGTCCCCTCAAGAAAGCCCTGCTCCTACTTAAAGAGGATACATAAAAACCTCAAATTACTTTTTTGTTAAGTTTATTCTTTAACTATGTAAAATACCCTGACTGATCTGCACGATGCCATCTGATACTAAGTGTTGTCTAATCCAATATCACTGAAAATATCCAGAAATATAAGATTTGAAACGGAACAAAATATTATACGTCGAGAGTGTAAGTTAATTTGTACTTTGGACTTTCCTCTTTTACGAGTTCTATCCTTCATTCTAGGAAGGTGCGTTGATCGACCGTGTAAAGAAGACTTACTACGAGATGCATACTAACCAAACAGTGGACTTTGTCAATGAGAAGGTAATAATTTGTCAACTTACTTGAAGCGTATTGTCTAGTAGTCATTTTATAACAAATTATATGCCTTTTGTATAGCACAATTCAGGGTTATAGAGAAGATCTAAAATTTTTTTTGGTGAGGCAATTTTGATTACATACCCTGGCCAATGTTAGAAGCAAAATCACACTACTTCAAATTCAAAGTATCACTTTTAGAATACCCAAATTAATTTATTTCTGTAAAATTTTGGCAATTATGTTAAATCACTTAGATCCTATAATATTTATATGCATCTATTCCATGGACCACGTGACCCAATAAAACTCTGACCCCCCCCCCCCTCCTGGCCCACGCAGTTACCTGACTTAATCTTTCTATTTCAGATGGAGAAATGGGGAAGGTTTAATCATGCAGAACTGACCATAATGGAGGCTTTGGATAAGCTAAATGCATTAGTGGACGAGAGTGACCCTGATGTAAATGTTTTCTATTCGATTGGTGAGAGGGGCATATAATAGATTGATGGTGTGTCGTGATGGGTAACGTTTTAGTTGATGGCATACAGATACTTTTATAGAGTTCTGTTTTATTTAGTTGACGATACACATATAGAGTTCTGTCTTAAGATATGTGATAATTCGACAATTCTCATGTACATGTAATTTGTTGATGGTGCACTAACGAGGCCATGTAATTGGCCTAGTTGGTGATTGTTTCCGAATGATGCGTCTTTCACAAGCTTCCTCAATATTATACTTATACAATCCTCATATATCATAAAAGTATCCTTCAGATTGGCCTTTTACCCCCATATCACTCATACAGCGGAAACTAGGGAACTAGTATAACCATTCAATTATACCGTACGTGCAATACATCATGAATAAATACTGATCACTACTTGAACAATGCTGTTATTATCGAAATGACATGAAGTTAACTAAGTTAGCGGAATATAACTCACTCTCAAACAGTTTAATAACCTAAATTCAAAATACGCCTACAGTGTACTTTAACAAAATTGCAAGTCACTGCCATAAGTAGGTTAAAATGCCCTTTCACATAGCACATATACACGATAGATTCACCGGATTAAAATTCCTCAGAAAACATAAATACGATCAATCATAGTAGTAAATGGAACATAAAGAATGTCATACAAGAAACTTCTCTATTAAATCAGTATTTCATTCAGTAGTGTTTTTGCAGGTTGACCTCCCAAATTCCGTCCACGCCTTTCAAACGGCAGAGAGAGCAAGGGAGGCGCATCCAGAGAAAGATTGGTTCCATTTGGTCGGTCTTATACATGATCTTGGAAAAGTCATGGCCCTTTATGGAGAGCCACAAGTAAGGGCAACTTCTTAATTCATACATCATCGTATGACTAACTCAAATTCATCCAGATTTACTTGACGATATTCCCCTCGTTCATCCTAAATGTGTAATGCCGTGGTCACATTTGCTATACGATCGTCAACATCGAATCCCGGACGATGAGTATTTTGTTCAAAACTGAATGCAATTCTGAACAAAATACTCATCGGCCGGGTGCAGCGACTGAATTTTGAAGCAGATGTGACAACGGCATATGAAGAAATGGATTGTGGCATCCTTTACGTGTATACATTACATCGTCATTTTACTGTATATTATGTTGTATCAAAAACTATGATATCACACTTTTTATTTCAGTGGTGTGTTGTTGGGGACACGTTCCCTGTTGGCTGTGCATTTTCGAATAACATAGTATTCGGCAAAGAGAGCTTCATGGATAATCCTGATACCAATAACAGTGCTTACAGGTCAGTGTGTGAAATTGGAATCCAGATTTTAATTAAATTAGGTGAATCTAAAGTTTAGAAATATCGAACGAATTTTGTCTGCCATCTTAAATTGTATCTGTATCGGTATCACATCATCTTGGATTTCCAAGGTATGATGCACTCATATTAAAAATCAAACTTGGAACGAGTATGGTATCACTTCAGGAATATCAGCACTGGGGCCGACCCCTCCAAAGCGTCTCTCTCAGAACGTTACGAAGCCCATATGCTGTTGTGCCATTGTTCTTCCACACAGCATGCGCACCTCTCCATGCTGTTACATTGTCACGCATAGAACCATCTTTGGCAATAATATGAGTAGGTGATGCCTCATCTAGGTACATCACGGCTGTTGTCTGATTGACAACATTACCTCTTTCTCTCCAGCTTCTATTTCCAATCATATCAATTGTTAGTGGCTTAAATTGTACTAACTCCATTTGTTGTAGATTAGGCAAAATTACAGGAAATTACAGGCGGTGCCGATGAGATTATTTCTGTATTTTGTGATAATTGAAAAAAAGCAAGACATTAAAAGGAGATGTCTTCAGAATTAATGTAACAAAATGCTTACTATATAGATTTTGAATAAAGTTTTAGATTTTGAAAAACGTCACTCAGTTTAATGTGATAAACATTAATCGTTTATCTCATTTCAGTTCCGAACTCGGAATATATACAAAGAATTGTGGATTGGACAACGTCAAGATTTCATGGGGACACGATGGTAAATATCAGGAAGGTTAAGCGGCACGTTTTTAAGATAACTTGAACGTGGAGGTTATTAATGCCTCTCAGGTATATATCCTTATTTTTTGTTTTATTTGACAAACCCAGGAACAAATATTCGAGGAGCTGTGTTTTCATACATAAACAGTCATATATAAGTGCATCTACCAGCCTTTTTTTTACCTCAGGACAACCCAGTCAAACTCAGTGTTGGCTGAACTGGAGTCACTGATCTAAAACCGAGTCAAATGGGTGGAATAATTTAAATTCATGGATTTCAGAATATCTTTACCAAGTGCTGAAAAATCACCCTGGATGCAAGATTCCTGAAGAGGGCATGTATATGATACGATACCACTCCCTATACCCATGGCATACAGCAGGGGATTACCAACACCTGGCAAATAACAAGGATGGATCGATGTTGAACTGGATTCTTGAGTTTAAGTGAGTAATCTATAACTATGCAATTATAAAATCATATTTTTATTTTGGAAATATATTGTGAGAAAGTCTGGTTCATTAGGAACGTGTGTTTTAAATCATGCATCAACTATGGGTGACGTGGGACTATATAGAACTATTGTTGATTGGTACGTTGAAATTATTACACTATTTTAATACAATTCCTGAACGATTTACCTATGTATTGCATATGTGATCGCAAAAACTGGTTTTACATTCACATTGCAGTAAGTTTGACCTGTACAGCAAATCGGAGGTTATTCCTGACATCAACAGTCTAGTTCCGTACTACCAGAGTCTCATCGATAAGTACGTCCCAGGTGTTATAAGATGGTAATCTCGCATAATCTCGTGCACGTGATTATCAAGTACCTAAACGATATAATATCTACAAATGCAAAATGTACAATATATGCATGTATTCCTAACAAATGGACCATTAATTAAACTGTTCAGAGGAGTTGATGTCAAAATAGCATGAAAGATTGGGCGTTGTAGAAATGGAGAACCTTGTGTTTATATTATACTAAATCTACAAGTGTTCTTTGATGGGAGCCTTTATAAGATTGCTTGTGTATCATAGCTTAGAAATTTATATGTTACAGTACACTCTCTAAAAATTTGTGACCAAAAGCCGCGTTTCTGACCATGTACATAAATGGGGAATTCGGTCAGGTACGTTACTTAAGCACGTAGAAGGGTGTAACTCTAGCAAACGTGTATACACTCTGAGAAAATGAATCTTTTAGATTTTAGTGTACTCTATATAAAACACTTTATATTAATATAATATCAAATACCAAATATAGTATCATTATTTTAACATATTCGCATTGTTCCAGTGTAGTTTTTAAATCAGGAGAATTGCACTATTTTAATCGACGTCTTGGTCCCTAACCTGCTCCAAAAATTGAAATGTCCGCATCCGGTACTGACCACAAAAAATGAACAAACCAGTTCAAAGCACAGACTTCCCTTACTAAGAAAACATATTTCGTTTTGATAGTAACAGGGGCCTTTGCCTCTAAAATGGGGTCACACAAAGTTATCTTCAAAAAAAAAACTTCTTGAATTTTTTGAATTTTTACCACATATGAGATAATGGATTTTATAGATTATAGTGTAGGCTATATATAAATACTTTATATTTATAAAATATCAAGTATAGTATATTTATTTTAACATATTTGCAGTGTGACGCAAAATAATTATTATTCAACTCTTACAACTTTTACAAACTATCCAATTAGTCCATTGTGAATAAACGGAGGTGCAGGAAGATTGTTTTCAACGCTGTAAACAGAGCAATTGTTGAGTTCACACGGGGACTCCTGCCAAGCGTATCGAACCCCAACAACGCTCTGCATGGTTGGTAAGCACGAGAAAGTGATCGTTACACCACTGCTGGCATTTTCTTCCGATACTATGGCGGCCTCCCAACTCGTCCCAGCATCACCACACGTAGCCCCATCGGATGTTGAACAGCATACCTAGAAAGCAGGGTACCTTCTATAAGCACATCTATAAAGTAGGGGTCTATCTGCATATGATAACATAAAGGCCTATAAGCACATCTATTAATCACATGCTATGTGTCAGCACACCAATAAATCAGGAGGCTGTTAGCACCAACCAAGGGTTAATTCGAACATGACTGTATTCGCGCCTTCTATAAAATGTGAACAAAGTCAATATTTCAACCGGGTTATATTCGCGAGCACTGCCCCTGTTAATACGAGTAATGTGTGACGTCATAACGGCGGTCCGTAGTAATGGGTGAATGAATATGCGAAACATTGGTGAGTTTTCATGTTCGAATCGTAATATAGACTTCAGAGCAGGTGTAATATCATACACTCCTTGGGGCTAGGCACTATAGCTTTCGAACAGAAAACGTTTGTTCCTAGCCCTGCGCGGTGTATTTGACAATATTACCCCTGCACTTCGGTCTATATTTCTTCATCAGTAAACCTATTAATCAGGGATCTATTAGCACACCATTAAATCAAGGTTGTACTCAGACACCTATAAATCAGTTATCAATTAGCACACCTCCAAAATACTATACACACTTGAAATATCAGGGGTTAATTTGCACACCTGCTAATCAGGGATCTGTTAGCACACCTTTAAATCAAGGGTGTATTCTGACACCTATAAATCAGTTATAAATTAGCACATCTTCAAAATAGGGGTGTGTTTACACACCTACTATACAGTATACACACTTGAAATATCAGGGGTTAATTTGCACAGACCAGCTAATCAGGGATCTGTTAGCACACCTATAAACCAGGGGTCAATCATTATGACAATCTTAACGTGGCCTACAAATTACCATGTCTCAATGTTCTCAATATGCTTATCCTATTGTTTGTACTACTGCATGAACACCCGCCCAAAAAGGATACATGGCAAAAATATACAAGTATTGCAGTGTTCTTACTTCGAAAGGTCCACTTGTGCCAAACTGAAGTTGGGTTTGTCCATTATCATACGTTATAATGATACTACTAGTAGACCCGTCCAAAGTAAAGTTAGTTGGAAAGGGCCCTTGGTGCCTCACACTTGCATCACCATAAGCGACATTTAGACCTCCATACAAGAGTCTCTCGGCTAGTGGCCGCTTATAACGAGGATGAATACTTGAAACATAAAATGAATTAGGTAATTATATTAAAAGTCTGAACTAAGAATACAAAATCGCAGATACATAATAGTATTAGCATTTACGTAATTCTACGCAATATTAAAAAGAGAAAAAAAAACTGATGAACGTAGAAATAACACTTTTGATCAAAATGTTGTAAAAATCGGTCAACTGATGTAATTTTGGGGAATCAAGCCTGGCATTCAAATTGGCATAAGGACGACTTTTAAGAATCATTTCTCTACATATAATGCTTTCTACGTACCTTCCCCAAGGTGAATTATAGTCCGGGGTATCGATTGCAACTGCCATGAATGTCCTGGGCATATTGTTATTTGGAACATAACCAATGTTCGCTGTCTGAGACCATCGTACATCCGGAAAGCCTGTCTGGACGAGTTGATTTCTCCATGGAGCCAACTTTAAAAGAAAACAGTATAACGTTATACACTCTCCTTTAAAACTTTGGGAATTGGAAGTCCTACAGTATTTTACATCTTGGATTTCCAAAGTATGATTGGAAATCAAACTGGGAATCCTGCCTCCGGGATTCGGGGATTTGATTCACTTTTTTTTGCTGTGAACGAGTATGGTGTTTTAATCGATTCGGGAAAATAAACAAGGGCTGTCACCATACCGGGTGTCCCAAAATATGAGCAACTTTTTCACAAGTATTATCTCTGCAACTGATAAACCAAATTCACTGATAATTTTTACAAAGTAGCCTAAGAGTATCATTATCAATCAAGTTGTAAGAATCTTAAAAGTATCAAGTAAATATTCTGGGAGTACTAAGAAAAATCAAAAATAGCTTGTCAAAAAGCCCCATACCAGAGCTCTGATATGAGACCTCTATAGTGTTCGTACAAGCTATCAACTTCGCACGCTCGGTCTTCATTGCGTTCGATGGGAGCCGAGTGATGTCTGATTAATTCTTTTCAATCATCCCAAATTTCCAAAATCCAATTCATTCTCAAATTTCATTGGAGATGATACTGTTAGAATAAATACGGAAAGTATTTTCGCTTGAAATGAATTAATATGTGAGTTTTAGTGATATTGGTTATTTTGACATATTGTCATTCTAAAATATACAGATAATATGAGACCAATCTCTTACATATTTATGGCACTAGCAAAATATACCCTTAAGTGTCTCAGGTAAAGTTTTCAAAGAATTTGGCTTATTTTTGCTGAGAATTTACTTGTCAAATTGCTTCTCATTTTTGGCACAAATAAACGTATAGTTGATATCGGAAACTTTTTTGCACGTAAACGGAGATGGCCGAAAACATATCAACCCTAACTCTGACCTAACTCTTGCACCTGTGAGAAGAAGTGAGTAGCTCCCATGGAAAAACTTAATATCACGGGGTTCCCCTTTATACTTCCCTACATGGTTCTACAAGCCTCATATGGATCTATCATATGACATTCAAAATGGTTGACAACAGTAAGTTGGATTCCTATATGGTATATTCATAACATATGAATCTGTCATATGGATACCGCGTGACCAAATACCAATACAGAACTTTGGGAGATCCCCCTGCTCTTACCCTAAAGAAAAATCAGAATTTCGCTCGACCATCTCCGTTTGCGTGGTGAAATATATAATTTAACATTATAAAACAGTTTATATAAAATATCCACCTGTACAAATCCGAATGGGAAATCTCCAGGTGTTCCCCCTCTGGCGTTAAACCTTGCCCGCCAATCATTGATCATTGCCGGAAATAGGCATGCGTATTGCTCTGCGTTATTCCTGTTTGATTCACCTTTAATTCAAAATTCACATATTCCTTTGAAACTAAGAATTCAAGATTAAATAAAGTGTTGCCCGGATACTTAAATGTCGATGTCCAGTCGTATTACTAATATACCGTCTGTTCTGGTTGTGAAAACTCATCCATATCCAAAACGCTTACATACCTTGGTACCATAGTGCTCCTGTCATGGCCATGGGGAGGAAAGGGTGGACCATGGCATTCCACAGGTGAGATGGATCGTTTGGACCCTGAATACTAAATTGATGATTAACATGCACTGAGAAATCAAGTGATTAAAGAACATTGGGGGCCCAGTCTCACAATAAATATTGTTCTACAAGGCTGGTTGTCATGACAAATGCATGATGGAGCTTGAGGGCAAATGAAAATTACAAATTTAATTTTAGATTCATGAAATAACTCGCTGTGGATAGCATCAGTAGTGAAACATCATCCTTGCTCATTCTAGTCTTATTTTGTCTTAAACTCCTATAATTACTTCAATGCCGGAAGGAATCGGATGAAACGCCTACGTACTGTATGCTGTATATTTGTCTCATAAATGTGAATGAAATAAACACATTAGCTATGTTAAATTTAGCCATCGTGATCTCTGCATATTGTATTTGTTTCGGGAATTTACCAAAAACCATTCGACCAACTGGGTGTCCAGAATTTAATGTATTTAATATAAAAACGCTTCGACCTTCAATGTTTCTGTCTCTGGTCGTTTTCTCATAGTTTATGTTATACAGATTTTATTGAGATCAAAACTGGTTGATATAACAATGGAGGCAAAAGTAAGTATGGTTAAAATTACAAGTGGTATAGTAAGCTATTTTTAAGATATGTAAATATGTTTAAAAGTTGATCACGTGGCCATGGATGTAGAAAAGTTTTTTTATGTTTCATTTCATTTCGTCATATATCATGTATATTCTCTAAAGTTTTAAAGGTCTCTGTTGTTTTCAGCTTTGTACACATGTATCCTTTACATATGTCTGATTAATTACTTAAATACCATTTTAAAAAGTATCAATAAATACTTATTGTACGCGTATACACAAAGCGTGGGAAAAGTTTCAAACATAAACGATTGGACAACATTTCAAAATCAAGCAAAGGTCATCAGTCTCAAGGCCAGGGAGATATTCAAAATGTGTGTACACTCCCCTCCATAAGTTTGGCAACCTTTTTTCCCCATTGAACTATGTGTTAAAGCCTCTTTACGTTTGAATTTTTATTTACTTAACCGGCGATGAAAAAACTTATAATATTGATGGAAACGTAACTTGACTTTATTTCCAATACCTCTAAATTTTTCTCAATTTTTTTCCTCAATTACAATAGGTCGGAAATTGATGATAAATTTGATGAATTTTTGAAAATCGTCATTCCCATGTAATCCAATGGGAAATGGAGGGTTCGGGGCAAATCAGAAATCAGGATATCTTTTCAGTAAAAGATTCAGCAAAAAATATTTTTATATAGAAAATTGAATTGTCTAACTTTTTTGAACACTAAGTGTTTAGTTTATTTGATGAATATTAAAGTTACAGCGCTTCAAAGTCATTTTTGAAAATAATTTTTCGCCTCCTGTGTTATTTCAATGGGAGAGGTTTTTTGAAAAACAATTTTGACTTTAAAGCCCTATAACTTTGTTGAACCTGAAGAAACATATCAATTTTTTGTTAAATAAAGTTAGCAAATTCAATTGCCTGCCTAACTTGTATTTTTTGCAAGGACTTGGATGGATGGATATTCTGTCATATGACTTGCGGCAAACCTACCATTTCCCATTGGTTAACATGGGAATGACGATTTTCAAAAATTCATCAAGTTTATCATCAATTTTCGACCTATTGTAATTGAGGAAAAAAATTGAGAAAATTTTGAGGTATTGGAATGAAAGTCAAATTACGTTTCAATCAATAGTATAAGTATTTTCATCTCAGGTTAAGTAAATAAAAATTCAAAGGTAAAGAGGCTTTAACACGTAGTTCAATGGGGAAAAAAGGTTGCCAAACTTATGGAGGGGAGTGTATGTATGTCAGTATTCGTTTAAAATAAACGCTTAAGAAAAGTTAAAGTGAAGTTATCGAACGAAGTCAACACCAACTTTTTTAAACATGGTGTTTTCATATACACTATAGGTTTTCATTCGATACAGGGAACATTAAACATAAAATGGTGGGTTGTTCGATCCTTCCTTAAAGTTCAGCATTCAGTCTTGGTTAAAGGACATTTCTGATATACTTTGCAAGCAAACCAGTGAGATTAGTGCTTAAACCTAAAACAAATGAAAAAATATAATATGTCACCTCTCAGTGTCTGCATTACAAGATCCACGTGCTTCTGGCGACATCCAAGCCTCGATGCGAGTTCCTCCCCAGTTTGATCCAATCAATCCCACTGGGATGTTTTGCCTTCGGTGTATTTCTTTACCAAATAGCCAGCATATAGCGGAGAACCAATACACTCCATCTTAAAAGCAATATAAGATGTATAGACCCGCTGTCCAAATAAGGTGAAGCGATTTTGGATAGATCGTACTGTGGTTTTATACGTACTGCGTTTAATTACTCACTTCGACTAGTACGCTTTGCGAAGGTAAAGCGATGTGTTGGATAGGTCATACTGTGGTTTTATACGTACTGCGATTTAATTACACACTTCGACTAGCCCTTTGCCAAGGTAAACGATGCTGTTTGGATCGTACTGTGGTTTAATACGTACTGCGTTTAAATACTCACTTCGACTAGCCCTTTGCCAAGGTAAAGCGATGCTGGATACATCGTACTGAGGCTGAGCATTTTCCAAGTGAGGAACGTTCATTAATCTGACATTAGGGAAACTACCGGCATTGTTCATCTCGTCATCGGGATCGTCCATCTGAGAATAATTTATAAAATACGCATTATCGTTCATGTAATTTTTAGGGATTGAATAAGAGCATTTTGCAGTTAAACTGCATGTAAAAGTAAGAAACGCCATTTCTAGATCATAAGTATTTAATATCTTAAAATCAACGTCCATGATACTATTTTAAATATTATTATTATGTAACCCGCGAAAACTGATCAAGATGTTATCAAATGTCATTTATAACCAATCGACTAGAAAATGTTTTAAAAATTGTTTGAATTGCCTAACATGATAATACCCTATGAACTGGATGTTCCATGTTACTCTGCCCGGAACATAGCCATATATCTCCAAAAAGTACATCAGTCAGTGTTGCTGTTTGTCCGCTTGAGGTCGCTGTAACTGTGTAAGGTCCGCCTGCTGCAATGGCATCCAATTTGACCTCCCAAACGTTTCCTGCTGGACCTAAGACATTGAAAAATATTACATATACGAGACTATTCTAGTAGCTGGGTTTCCAGCATTGGGGGTAGTTGTTTTACACCAGTTTTGTATACCATGTTCTGTTATAAAATCACACAATCCGGTGTAAAAGGGTAGGTTGTCCTATGAATTTTTGGTCCTACTCTCTCTATCGATTTATATGGTGACCTAATTACAATTATTTTCCTTATTATTTATACACAGTCAGGGCCAGTAAGGGCCGTAAGGAAAGGGGACCATAATCCCTAGGGGACCATCATTTATTTTACACCGGTCTGCATCTGAAACTAAATGTTTGCAATCATTGATTTCGTATTACCAAACGACTCACTAGTTTGAACTGTCGTGGTGTAATCTTTTCCTGCGACATTGACATTTACACTTGTCCCAACCGCAACAGAACCAGCATAGCCCCAGACGTTAGCCTGTGTCGGAGCACGCTGTAGGACCATAGAGTTCTGGTAATAATTGGCAAACCGGAACACACCAGACTGGCGCGCTAAAAACGGAAATATTTTATACTCAACTCATTTTATGCATTTTTATGAGAGGTAACCGATAAAAACATGACATATGCAAATACACAGAACATGTATATCTAGTCACGTTTTAGGAAAGATGGTTAAATAATATTTTCTGAATTTGTATTTTTACATCTTTTGCCATGAAACATATTTGCAAGTATGATGCTGGTCATATGTAAGTACATGCACCAGTATATGAAATAAATTAATTTGAAAAAAACATTAGTATATAACTGAAAATACCGCATTGCAATGTGTTTGATTTATCAATTCATTATCTTCCAAATAATGTTAGACACCTTCCTGTATATAATCCATCACTCTAAAAAATTACTTAAGAAATGTTTTTACTTCACTCAAGTAATACCCATTTACTTAATAACATTACTTCAATAGATTGAGATAAGTATGAATATATTAAAAAAGTAAATAGAATCTTGTATTAAGTTATATAATATGAATATTATACAAATAGTGACTGCCATTGAGGGCAATAGTGTAAATTATTTCCCCGAGGGAATATCCTCTACAATGTACTATTCCCGAAGCCGCAGGCTGAGGGAATAGTGTATTGTAGAGGATATTCCCAAGGGGAAATCATTTACACTATTGCTCGAAATTAGGCAGTCACTATTTGTTTTATTATATACCCTATACTGACTCTTGTCCCGTTTCCTCTGCGAAGGCCAAAAAGGCTTAGAAAGCCCCCTCCCCGGGTCCATTGTTAGCATTATAAGCTGTGACGTCATCAGATGCTCAACAGAAATTTTTGCCTCCGAGACTCTCACTTGACAAATTCAATCGCGTTTAACACGCGGAATAGATTATCATAACACTTGAAATAACACAGACGTATTGAGCTTAGGGAACTTTATACACGTTGCTTATATTGTATCGTTCACGCACGTCTATCATGGTGAACGGAGTTGATTTGTGTTTGTGCTCATCCTCCATTTTTCTGTTTTTCGTCTGCGCAGTGATGATGAGCAGACGTTTCCAAGGGTAATAGAGCTTGCAATTGTGACGTCAGCGGGCAATAGTTCAAATGTATATTCCCGCTGACGTCACATTTGAGGGAATATAACTTTCCGAGGGAAATAGTAAATCTATTTCGGAACACGTGACTAGGTATTGACCAATCAGGATAAGTGTTACATATTGGGTATATAATAAATTTAAATAATATGACTGTTTTATATACGTACCCTGTCTCTCCAATACATTTGCTTTTGCACATATTACCAGAACATATACAGCTAAACACGAGTGTAAAAATATCATGGTTGTCGTCAACAACCTCAAGTCTACGGTTTGAAACGCTCACAAAATAGTTATTCTTTTATATTTACCTATATTTTATCTCTTATCTTTTAATTGTTATATCGCGAACGTCACCTTGCATTAACTGTAATTTTTCTCATATTTAAAGGCGAATGTGCTAGAATTTACCCCCATGTACGTTGTAACATTAAGTGCCAGGATATCAGTCCTAGTGAATCGATTAACAACTCGTATGAATATATGTAGTTTCTCTCAATTAAATGTTCGGGTTCGATCTGCCAATGCGTGGTGTACACTTTTTACTCAAAGGTATGCACCACAAAAGATCTTCCGATAAACGCCACCTTTTGATACATAAGAAAAATGGTGGAAATCTGACCGTGCAAAAACAAGATTACGTCATTGCTAATTTCGAAAAAGGTGGCAGGATTAATCGTGCAAATTTTGAAAAGCAACACCTTCAAGGAATGGTCCAGGGCTTAAATCCTTATCGTTTGTCCCATAGTTGAGGTCAAATCTGTAGAATAACACGTAAATTATATATTAATTAGATTTTGAAAATGCGTGAAAAAAGCGATATCTGTGGAATACGGAGAATATTCCACAGATATCCCTTTTTTCCACGGATTTGAAAACCTCCGCCAATGTGACGTCATTGTTTCAGGGTTACGTGTTATATGCTTACATAGTGATTGCATGACATCACAAATATGGAAATGATTAATATTTTGGCTATAGTTCAGACAAATAAAACTTAATGTTGTTGTGAAATGCTTTGGAAGGTGAACTATGGGGTGATTTGACCTCAACTATGGGATAATTAGAATATCCTATGATTTTTCGTGATATCATGTTAATCCACTCGTTAATCAGTGAAAACAAATAAGTGTTAAAAATTGACATTTTTCATGTAATTGAACATAGCTGAAACTAAACCTACTTTTGCACATCATTTTATGTATTCTAAAATATAATGCCTTTATATGAACTACGTCAGCATACTTTTTTGATCGTTCCGATTGTACGTAGCTTTGATATCTGGCTTCAAAATTGTGAATTTCGTGAAATTGTCAATGTAACAGGACAACAAGCTTTTGAAAACATGTCATATCTCAATAATAAATGGTCGCATCTTTTAATTTTGGTTATGCTGGCATAGAGAACATTCATTCAGAGTGTGATGAGAGCACTGTATTTGATCTCAACCTATTACCGATTATATAGACCAAATAAAGTAAATGTAAAATTTATTCTGTGAAAATCGACATGGTCGTTTAAACACACCCACACAGCATTAGGGGAATCCGAGAAAAATAAGTTATATGTGGTTAGCAAGTCTTGATTCAGTTTATCAGACCAGCATGTTCCAAATCGTGATAATAATTGTGATTGAATTATAATGAGCATTATCTGAAATTTTCTGAAAATTCACCATTTTTCTTGTGAAAAACGACCAAGATGTAATTCACACATGGGCAGCATTCTAGCGTAAAGACGGACACTATTCAAGAAAACAATATATCAACTCTGTTTTAACGAAAACATTTTACGAAATAACCAGCACGACCCCATCTATGAGCGAATATGGTGTGAAACTGTGACAATCGACATGCGTGAAAATCGACATGGTTATACCATTGAACTCAAAGCAGTGAATTAGTCATTTCTATAAATCACAAATGGATTGATTTGATTTTATATGATTACCAATACACTGATAACACATGCGTAAGAGTTTTCTGAGAATTACGCATTAAGACCAATTGATAGAAAATGAAAAGATAACAGCTAAAGAGTTTTCTCTTTGTTCAGCGTACCTTTTCCATTTTATACGTCTTTGCAAAAATACGTTACATGCAAGCAGATGATAAGTTATTTGGAACCTCCATAAGCATAATTTACCGAAAGATTTTCACTACAAAAATCATTATGAAGACCATTATAGCCCAAAATGTCTCAACCTCTGTGAATAACGTTTCGTTCAGTGCATTCCCGGGGATTGCTGACTTCAATTATAAAGTCTATTAACGTTTGGGTTCAGTTTCCTTTTCAATGAATGTATCATTCTCAATGGTGAACAGCATAAACAGGCATCTCTTATTTATAATATGAACGATTTTATAGCTTTTCAACGATGTTTATTTGCTTATCATTACTTTCTACTTTCATTATTACGATCTGATCTACTAGATACATTACGATCTGATGTACAAGATTCGGAATGCCCTCGTCAAACGTAATTCGTTGCAAATCAATGTTCGAGAATAAAATAAATCAAAAAATCAAGAGATGAGGTGCATAAGATTACGTTCCTCATTGTAATATATCGCCAATCGAACTAGCATTATAGAAACATAAAGCACAAGATGCGCATGCGACGATAGAGGCAACAAAAGCGAGATGATTTTCCCCTTTTCAAGAAATAAAACCTGGGGTAGACCACTAAAATATATAGACTTCAAGAGCTTCAAACAAAACATCAGAAGAAACAAATTTAATAGCGAAAGTTATGAGATGTGAAATCAGAAATCTGGAAAAGGAATCGAGTCTGACAAGAACGAATTTTTTTCTCTAAAGCGAAAATTATGGCGACTAAAACAAAAATCTCAGAATGAAGCAAATCATAGTTATAAAAACACTTCCGGTGGTCATGGAAAAAAAGTCTTGTGATAGGAACTTGGAGAGAGAGGGGGGGGGGGGGTTATCGGCGAAGCGCTCCGCAGATAATGGTGTCAAGAGATGATTTTTATGATTGAACTATACGTATACGTCAGCCTTATTCTGGACTAGACTCGACATCAATATCATATGTTTCAATTGATAACGTACACTCGAGTAGAATAAGGATCGGGTTCTTGATTTGAAATATGTTAAAGGGACATTTCAGATCTAGATATCTAAATAGATGCTGATTGTACTCCAATATTACGTAAATGGTTGTCCTGTCGTTGTGATACATGCAGGAAAAACGTCACTACGTCAACCTGCAACTGGTCTAATCATGCATTAAAAGCTAAACCCAAAGGAAAAATTACTCAAATTGTAAAACGAGTCAAGGTACCATACCTGGTATACCTTGTATGAGATAAAAGGGAAAACATATACCAAGGGTGTCAAAAAATATTTTAACGACATGGCATCTGTTATCCAATTGTCATTCAATCTAAAAATGTAAGCCCTTGTCTCATGAATCAATGCAATGTTTTGGTAAAGTTGGTGTGAAAAGGATGTAGAAAAGATGTGTTCAGTGCATATAAACTTTGCGGACGTAATACGTACATGTCCTATATAAGTTTATTTTCTTTGACGATATTTCAGGATAAAATGTGAAACACGAAAGGATTCTCCAAATCATGTTTTACGTATGTCGGGTTTTGACGGGAAATTTTACATAAACGTGGTCCTACGTGGCTACAAATACAAACTGGATGTTTCTCAATCCAGCTAGTTATATCTTACCCCCCTATCACACCAAACTAGTTCTTACCCGTTCTTGCCAGTCCTACGAAAACGTCGTAAAACGGGCTCAATCTGGCTGTGGTCGGGAAATATCTCTAAAATAATTAGCTACTTCGTTCATAAACAGTCTTCAATACGTCCATCTCATTCGCAGTTCGTTCAGGTCGTACCAAGATCGGTGTGCAACGTCGTATAACGCGTCCCTTGGTCTAGAAGGTCATCATGACCTGATTACAGAACGGTATGGTCGCCATCGAATTTTGAATCGATTCAAAATTCTAAAATCACCTTCCCGTCTGAGAACGTTCATGAAGTTCGTAAATAGACCTTAGAAAGTTGCAGCTACGTTCGTTCCGTTCGCACACAGTTTAAAACCAGTTTTGAAGAACGCAGTGGCAACTTTTGTGTGATAGCTATATTTTTGCTAACTTGTTCATAAGCATTCTTTAATACGTTCTGAGTCAGTTTAAACCCGTTTGCAAATAGTTCTACCTCGTTCTCAATACGTCCTCAGGCAGTTCAACTCGTTGTAAAAACGTCCCTAGTAGGATAGAAGTACGACGGTTCCGTTCGTAGTACGTCCAACTCGTCGTTAGTACGTTGTCACTCGTTCTAATTGTAGAACGTGACGACCACGAGAACATTTTGAGCATGTTCTAAGTTCTAGAGGACCTATCCGTTCGAGTACGTTCGATGAAGTTTGTAAACAGACCCCAAACGGTTCTAAGTACGTCCAGTCCGTTCGTACACAGTTGAAGCCCGTTTTCGAGAACGTAGTGAGAACTAGTTTGGTGTGATAGTAGGGTTACATATCAAAAATGTCGATTTGTGAAGTAAGCGTTCCCTAATATGAACTTTCTAAATCATTGTCATTGTTTCTAATTGTCTTGTGAAAATCGACATGCGGTTGAATAGTGAAATAGCGTAATGATTAATTCTTCCCAAATAAAACTGTTATCATTTTCTATCGTCTTTAAGATCACTTTTCATGATCGCATCGATTCATGTTTCAATAAAGTCGACCCTTTCAATTTTATTCAAATGTAAAACAAAAGGTAAGTAAAAAATCGAAAAAATGATAGATTTTATTGGTTCGTGATGACAAGTGATGCACATCAAAAGGGTAAAGCTTGCAGTCCAAATCCATTTGCGATTTTAAAGGACAGTTAAGTTCCATGAGGAACGTTCTTGGTTTTTAGAAAATGTTGCATTCTAATTTGAATAGCTTGACATATTAATCAGGGGGTCAACATGTGAAAATCGACATGTTTGAGACGGACCCTAATTTCAATTTGAAAATTCGCCTATTTTTCCTTGGAGTTTACTTCAATGCCTTGGGTAACGAATGTACAATTGTATACAGATATATACTATATGTCTATTTGAAAAAAACATTTTAGATTTTTTTTTCACTTTTTAACAAAATTAATTTCACACTTAAGTGGTTTTGAGTGTAATATCAATATCTGCACTCATTTGCTACGCTCATCCTTCCAGATATTGATATCAACTCGTGGATAAAAATGATATCCCTCAAAATCATAGAATATCCTATACATATACGACGATTTATAAATTATGACGTAATACACACGCTTCATAAGTTATACTTTATACGGGATTCACACATAGCTAAGCAATTTGTGTCCGATTCCAGCCAATCCGATGAAAATATGTTATTTTGGTGATTTGTATCTTTTGGGTGATTTTATAGAAAATATTTTGCAATGTGTGAAAATAATTTTTCTCCTTCCCTACCCTATTGGAGCACCATCTGGCGTTTGGGAAGTGAATCGGGACTAAATATTTATAAGGTAGGTCCTAATTTATCTGAAAACATGTCAAAGTTCAGTGGGAAATCTCATTTTAATCTGGCGGCGATTTTGACCTTGATGATTTTACCAGAATTCTCTGAGAAATCTGACGATAGAGGGGGTTAGTATCTTCAAGTTTATTCATCTCGAAATTCGGTGGACAACCCATGGTAAGATTGTTATACCAGGCTAGGCGAGTCTCTCCCGAACACTGTGGTATGTTGCACCAGGCTTGGATACTAATCGTTAATAAGATACAGGGTAAAATGTTATAATGGCCACCTATGGGAAACTCTTTTGGAGTCTCTAACCTTCATTCAACACAGATGTGAAACAACATCTTCACGGCTTAAATCTTTAAATAATAAACATTTTGAAGAACAACCTAGATAAGGGTTCCATTTTGATGAAAAAAAACCTAGAACTGGGTTTACTAAAATCCTAAAACTTGGAATTGTTTTTTTTAGAAAAGTGCCTGTAATAGGTCTTGTTTTTTAATTACCTTAAAATGGGTCTATTTCTGAAAGAACCTAATGGGTCTATTTCTGAAAGAACCTAGATGTGGGTCCTAATTAGAGAAAAAAGCCCCAGATGTGGGTAAATATTTTGAATCTTAGCGGAACCCCCCCCCCCCCCCTCCTGTACAGAAATTTGACCAGTGCCCCAACCACCCCCTCCCCCGGGTTGCGAAATATCTTTCATCAGCACACTATTTTAGATATTTTATATGGTACAGTATGTCTTGGCCGCAGCAGCCAAGGTTTATAATGATATATATTTGACAGCTACTTCTCGACAACTGTGTTTCGCATAAGACAAAATGTCTCATCGATAAGACAAACCTAAGCGAAATTCAATTAATAAGCATAAGGGCTTTTTCTTAGGAAAACTTATGAGTCAATGTGTCACAAACCAAATGTTGATTTCCTCGAAAAACAGTTACATCACCAATATTCGTCTTAGAACCAAGATGTCCCATGATCTTGGATTGCACCATTGTTAATGTTGATATGTTTTCCAGTTTGCCCTTGAACATTTTGGAAATTCATTTGCAACCCTTTTCACGTTAACTGGGCAAGGCACTTCATAAAGTATTCACCTTGGGGATAAACAGAAAATAGACGTGACAAGGAATGATATATATGAGCCCGAAACATTATAAAATTGAAACAATCATTGTCATTTCTTCTACTACGACTACTCTTTGTTAATACCACCTTTAAGGCATCATACTTGTACCACGATCATTTAAAGTGAATGTCATTAATGCGACAATTAGTTTGTGAGATGAAAATCATATCCATACAACCGTTTAGAAGATCATGTAATACGATATATTTCAGCATTCACGTCTAAAGATATCTGTTTAAATTAGAAAACATTTCCCGATTCTGTTTTCCTAATTTCTGGATTTTCAGATCCAGCATATCGGGTTCACGTGTACATCTACATGTACATTAGTGTCTGATCGATTAATCATTTTCAACAGTTTTCTAAATATTCTATTACAAAACTGAAAATGTTTTTCATTTTTTTCACAGAAAATTTTACATTGTGATGGGTGTCAGATTGAGCCAATTTGATCATTTAATCAAAATAATAAACGGGAAACATTTGTTGTAAAATCACAATACATGTATGATTTAAGCTCATGCTCATGATTTAAGATCGTGATTTTTAAAGATCATGTACGTGATGATAAAGTTTTCCTCGTTAAAAACTATAAGATGGTCAGAAACAACACAAATCTGGAGAAGTAAAGAAAGCAGGAACGCTCAAAGATCAAGATGAAGTTAATACAACTCTTGGTCGTAGCTCTAATAGCAATCTCGTCTAACTGTCAAGCAACTATATCTTTATTATTCTTCATCAACATGCTTACGATCATCTTTGATCCAAAACTTATTGCTTGTTTGCGATCATGATGATGCCATTACACAAATGCAAAATGATATACAAACGAAAGCTCATGAAATTACCGAAATAAAGGCAATTGCTCAGCGAGAACGTCAAAAAATATTCGCACTTGAGAAAAAAGTTATTGATTTGCAGACCAATTACAGCGAACTACAGGTATGTATCAAATTCATTAACGGTGGTAATAATACTAATAACGTCATTTCTGCGGGCAATATAGTGAAATATTGATGACGTTATTGTACTATTATCATGATTAATTACCATATCATTATGTACATTATCAGGATCATCCCATAATTGCCATTGATTATTATTTACATATTTAACCAAAACATTTTTGATAAATCATGTTTACCATTGAGGACTATGGCAGTCTGGCCCAACCAAAAACAAATAAAAACAAGTGCAGAAATCTATTTATTCAGCTTAAACTCCCTTATTGACAGTGCTGTATACATGTATATCCTTTTTTATAGAGGTCAATAAAAATATACATACGCAGTACAAGTATAATTTAAGACTTGACAGAGATCCTCATGAATCATAAGTTTTGATAACCCAACATAGTACCCCGGACAGGTTGGATGATGCAGTCGTGTTTTTACTCTATATTTGCAATGCAACAACTATTCTTATTGAAATTTTCATATTTTATTCTGGAGACAATTTTCAACATGGAAAAAAGTATTTCAACAAAATTCCTTCTTTTATAATTTTAATAGGCATTTTTTCAAAAAAGACGCCACTGTCAATAAAATACAGGTTTTTGCTTGAACAATTGTACTTTTAAGGTCATTTCAAAGATTGTCAAGCTATTTAATTTTTGGTAGCCTTAAGTCTTTCCAGATGTATTTGATGCCATATTATATGGCTGATTATTGTTATTAACCTTTGTCATATAGTGATATTATTACAGTGCATTTGGTCAATGAAAAACTTGTCACTCTGGGTCACGTTTCCTCTGATAACGCACCTTTGTCGCCACTGGGTTTTTCCACCACCGTCACTCAGCATGCAACCCTGTGGCATGTAACTTGTACCACGCTTTGAATATGTCAGGTGTACCTGACAATTTCACAAAGTAATATGACACAGCTACTGTATATCAACATCTCTGAAAGATCTAATGCCGAAAATACTTGAAGTTGGAGATTCGTAATGTTTTACCTCATTTTGGACGGTATTGAACAATTCGATCTGGTTGAACTCGTGTTCGTTGACAAGAATATTGACCTCCTCTATCCGGCCTTATTCTAGGGAACGCTTCACAGAGTGAGACCCAGGGCAACAAGCTTTTTATTAGTCTAATGCACTGTAATAACATTGATTATGACGAAAGTGATTAACAATTATCGGCCATAATTATTAATATGGCAACAAATATATCTGGAAAGACTTCAGGCGGCCGAAAATTCAATAGCCAGCCAATATTTACTGGGGGGTATCGTGATGCAACAACACCGTGTTGTTGCATCAAGATGGCCACACTTCCGGTGATAGATTTTCGTACGATATTTTGTTTTCCCAATTTAAACCCATTTATAGGACGAGTTGCTCAATAACCATACACGTGCAGTTAGCACATGATCTATATTTAAAAAAACTGTCATCAGTATACATGTAGCATCATCAAGAAGCGATATATTCGCGGTTTTAATTCCTCACTATTGATGCAACAACACCAAACCGAAGATGCAACAACACTCCTCTAGATTTGAGCAATGATGCAGCAACACCAATTAATAGTATAATTTCAGAAGACCATAAATCTCGAGAGAAACAGATTTTTAAATGCTACTATTGCAACACCGGTCCATTACCCATGTGCGTTCTTCTCAAGGCATTCAAAATACACGTCCTGTGGGCGAAGATTCTTTATATGTATTTTCAAAAATGTATACTTTTAAATATAATAATGTACTGGAAGTTGTTCTATAATAGTTCAATCGCCTTTAACATAGCAAGCTAAAGTAACCATATCTATTTTCATAAACCACCGTTCCATAGCATGATGACCCTGACTCCAGTTAGTATCATTTAAAATGGTGGACAATCATCTTTCGTTCTCGGTAAACATGACGAGCTATTGGAAATTATCTGTCATCCATCTGTGGAACAGTGATAATCTAGTAGATGCACGTTACCACTGTTTATTAAAATTTATCCCACGATTAATGTGTTATCTGTACAATAACAGCTATTGATATTTCTGATATCATTGAAATCCGTGTGATATTTTCCAGAAAATCGTTTATCAAACTCATATGCGTGTGATATCGTTTATCTCACGCATATCCGTGTGATATCACATTTGCATTTCGCGCCACAAAATTGTTGGAAATTAGGTCAGATAATTTATTCTCTTTTGAGAAAATAGGTCCGTTAATTTATTCTCTTTAAGTTTCATTGGTGTATTAAATTACAATTGTGTATATAATTTGATTAGAAGGCTGCTAAATAACGATTAAAAAATAATTGTATTTATGACGAACTATATCACAAGGTGATCGTAATCATGGGATAAACCCAATATCACATAATTTCTCGTGATATCATTTTTAATTTGGAGAGCCAGCGTGTAAAAACGTCTAATTGACTTTATTAGGGAGGTGTAGTAACACGTTTTATGAAAATCTTGCACGGCGCACATGTAGAATCTCTTTGGATTCGTTCTCTCCGACTGAGTAAAAAGGTGAACAAAAGTGATAGGATTTAGGGCCCAAAAAGGTAAAATCCCAGATTCCCCCGGGCCCTCGGGGAATATCATATTTTATCCTACACTTAGTGTGCTTAATGTATAATAACATAAAAAAAATGAATTTCAAATCTAATCGGCAAAATGAATAACCGGAGGATATCGCCACGATATATTTCGGAAAACCAATATGCGGAGGATATCGTGACGATATTACTCTGGAAAATCCAATATGCGGAGGATATTGTAACGATATAGCCTATCCGCTTGTTGATTTCCCGCCAAATTAACTCTATTTGGCATGAAATTCATTTTCAATGTTATTATACATTTAGCACACTCCTTGTAATCGTAGGATAATGAGAACATACTATTTTTTAGAATATCATTTTAATCTCCTCGGTGATATTGATATATGCACTCATTCGCTTTGCTCTCTCGTGCAGATATCAATATCACCTCCACTGGCGGATCTGGGGGGGGGGTGCTTTTGGCCTGCCCACCCCCCGGGTGGGCCCAGGCCTTAAGGCCCCAGAAAGTGGGCCTTTTTGGTAATTACTGGGCCTTTTAAGGCCTTATTTTTTTAATTTCAGGCCAAATTTTGAAGAAAATGGGCCTCGAAATTTCAAATTTTTTCCATTGTATAACTGCAATATCATTAAACTAACACTATTGAGAACGATGTACAACTCCTGGATAGCTAACTCAACTCCTGGTCATCGTATACAACTCTTCAACTTGATATATGACGTCATACTTTGGGTGGGATAAATAGAGGATATCCTATGATTTATGAGTGATATGATTTTTATCCATGAATGGATATCTGCACGATATCAATATCCATGAGTGGATTACAATCATATCACGAGTAAATCATAGGATGTTCGTTTTATTCCATAGTTAAAGTCATCATCAGAATTGTCTGAAATTAAGTTATTTGGTTCGAATTTTCCAAACTATCCGGCGATGTTGACACTTAGCCTCGTTTTGAGTCTGAAGTAGCAAAAATCCATTAACCATCGCATACGGTGTCGTATGTCATGGCTAAAAAACCGTATGCTATGGTTAAGTGAAAATTTGTTAAAAATATCATATTTTACCACTGATTACAAAAATACCGTTTTTATTTTCACATGTTATCCAATGAATATCATGCTAACTATGGAATAACAAAGGATATACAACACAAAATGACTGATATCTGTTGTCTTTCCATAATTATATTAGTTCTTTGTAAACAATTTCCATACGGTAAATCAAGGGCATTTAATTTAGAAAATGTATAATCTTTATTTTTCAGATACAATATCAATGAGGTTGGCTCCCGGGGATTCAATACTTAGCCTATGTATTTATTTTGTCCTGTATATCCTTTTAACTTTGATGAAGACAAATGCATTAAGAAACCAAACAAAATACGTTTCATTCATGGACCACTGACTTGAAACGAGTTTTATTCATGTCCCGACCAACACCTAAAAACAGTTTCTCTTGTTATTCAATGATACATTATATTGGCATCAGCACATTGGTGTTGTTGCATCATCGATAATAAACAGAGTGGTGTTGTTGCATCAATAGTGAGGAATTAAAATTGCGAATATATCGCTTCTTGATGATGCTACATGTATACTGATGACAGTTTTTTTAAATATAGATCATGTGCTAACTGCACGTGTATGGTTATTGAGCAACTCGTCCTAGAAATGGGTTTAAATTGGGAAAACAAAACATCGTACGAAAATCTATCACCGGAAGTGTGGCCATCTTAATGCAACAACACGGTGTTGTTGCATCACGATACCCCCCAGTGAATATTGGAAATGACGTTATTAGTTCAATTGTTCAAGCAAAAACCTGTATCTTATAAACAGTGGAGCGTTTTTGAAAAAAGCTTGTCAAAATCATAAAATTGGAAAGGGGCACGTAGGTTATCGCAAACAATTTCAGAAGGTTATATATCTTGGATTATGACTATTTTTTGACAATGAAGACAGGTTTATCTTTTAGATCAATTCATTATCTTAACGAAAATTATATACAGTAATAATAAAGTCAAACAAACTCGGAGATATTTAACTAGCAATCAACCCATCGACACACCTTTCAAAGATGTTGACTCCATTTTCACCAAAAATGCAATCATTTTTTACAATGTTTAATGCATTACTATTCTTTATTTTGATGTATCAAATAGTTCTTCAAAGAATTAAGATAAGTGTTTCCCATGTTATTTCCCCATTGAAAAATGTCATGCTATCCATTTGTTTCAGTTCATTTTGGTCATCCAAATTCAGTATCTTTAAAGTCCCTGGAGCAATCAACTTTTCCTTTTAGGAAATCGAACATGTCTCAAGGCACATTCTAATTATGCATTCAACAATATAATACAATGTTGCATTTTTGGTGAAAATTAGGTCAACATTTTTGAAAAAGTATGTTGATTGGTCCATTGCCTCACCAATATCACTTAGGTTTCATTAACTAAATTATCATTATATATACTTTTCTTGGAGATAATGAATGGATCTAAAAGATAAACCCATGTTCATGATCTGAAAATATTCATAATTCAAGTTAGAATCGTTTGAAATTGTTTGCGATAACCTACGTGCTCCTTTGATAAAATATTCATTTTCCATATTGGAAATTGTCTCTAGAATAAATCTTGAAAATTTGAATAAGAATGGTTGTTCCATTGCAAATATAGAATAAAAACACGACTGCATCATTCAACCTGTCCGGGGTACTAACCATTCCCATGAATTTCAAGGTCAATACACTAACGTTATTCCTTAAAACATTGCAAAATATATTACTGAAGGCACCTCAAAATTGTTATTCTTAGAAAAAATAATGATTATAAGCAAAACATAGTTTTTGCAAGAGATTAAAATCGCCTATTTAAAGCATAAAATCTAACTCGATTTTTCATCTTGTGCAGTGATTTTCTACTAATACCCATAAATGTTCTTACAGAGGCAGGGCAACCAGGGTTCTAAAAGGGATAACGGCAGTCGGGGTCCAAGAGATGAAAGAGGACCAAAAGGGGGAAAAGGTGAGAAATGGGCTATTGAATTTCAACAATCATATCAAATTCAAAGAACATGGGGTAATGCAACGAAAAAGCAAATCACAAAAACAAAATCTGTTTCCCCGAGATAGTATTACCGAATGTTTTTTCGCTTTATAAAAATCAAATGGGAATAAAATATCCCTTTGTTTATTATATGGTGTTTTTGTAGCGTATATTGCCGATTGTGGAGAACATCCTTCCCTTACCGGTGCTATTACAATCATGACCGAAGGTGATTCGCCCAGAGCCTTCAGTGTCTATTGTAAACGAGGTTGGACTTACATCTTCAAGAGATTTGACGGTAGCATTAATTTTACCCGCCCATGGGCTGATTACAAACGTGGCTTTGGGGAAACTATGGGAGAGTATTTCATAGGACTAGATAACCTTGCAAGTTTATTGAAGGAGCGCAACTTTAAAGCTAGATTTGAACTCACGACTTGGCCGCCAGCAACTCCATCTTCTGGATATGCTGAATATTCAAACTTCTCCATTGCCGATGAGAGTTATAAGTATCGTCTAAGTATATCAGGATATTCTGGTACTGCTGGTGATTCGATGCAGGGGTACCACAATGGAAGGCAATTTACCACGTATGACCAGGACAATGATCATGAAAATAGTGGAAATTGTGCCATAACATATAAAGGTGCCTGGTGGTATAATGGTTGCCATCAAGCTAATCTTTTTGGTATTTATGCACGTGGGCCGATTTGCCCAAGTTACGCAACAATGTATGGTTTGGTTACTATGGCCAACGTGGCCAGTGCCAAGCATTCATAATTATCTCTATTCTTTCAAAGAAGCATCTCTGAAAATACACAGAGTCTAAGCGTTCTAAGCGTCAACTATAGAGAATTGGAGGTGAAAATTCGACGTCCGTCAAATGTAAGCAGTGAGAATATTATTTAAATAAATGCCAACCTTTTTTATAACACCAAGTCGCTAGGGGGGGGGGGTAATTTGATCCCCCCTCTGCGATTGTCTATTCTCTGATTTCAATAAAGTTGGTATCGTTGAAAACCCTATTCGATTAACTCCTCAGAAAAGTATTGCATTCTTTTAAATTGCAGGTCAACAAAGGTCAAATCGAGGTAAACGTGACTAAGGGGATGTAAATTGTTGACATTTTGTGATAATTTTCTTTCAAAATGAAATTTTTTGACATATTTTTGGGCTATCCCCAAAGATTTAACATAATTTCATATAGTTTGAGAGGTGACGTTAATTGTATTTTACTTATTCCTTATATTGTTAATAAGTTATCCTTATAGTACATATAGTTCCCCTTATATTATACATAAATTCTCCTTATAGTATATACGTTCTGGAGTATACGTCAGCGTTTTATATGATTCATTCTAATATGATACATGACATCACAATAACTAGAACAATTGATTTACTGGTCTATATTGGAGTATGTATGACCACTAAAATTCATAAATGCAAACATTTTCCTTTCTTGTCTGTTTATCATATTAGAATCGTAACAAAGACCTCGATTTTATAATTTATGTCAAATATATGACCTCAAATTTTATTCTGGCCAAAGACCTCAATCGCCACGCGATTTCGGTCTTTTCACAATGAACGGAATAAATGTTTCGGTCATATATCACGCCATAAATCATGAAATCTCGGTCTTTATTCGTTAATTATAGCATATTCATTATATTACATATAACTTATAGAGTATACTTTAGCCTTATCACGAGGAAAAATTATATTGTCTTCACCTCGCAAACCTCGGTTTCGTCTGTAGTTAATACCCTAGTGGATGTATTCTTTATGCCAAACATGTTTATTTGTAGATTATTTCCGAATACTTAAGTAGTAAATTGTAATTGTAAACGTTATGTTGTCTCGTTCTTTGCGGATATAAATTTAAATACGCATAAGGATGGCACATTGTTTTCTGACATTTTGGACGCATTTTGCATGTGTTTTTAACCAAAAGGAAGTAGAGCGATGTTGTTATACATGTGCCTACTAAGAAGCATATTTCAATTTCTTATGATACTTTGGTTAGCTAGTGAGCGGACATTTTGAAAACAGGCAGCCATTTTTACATGAGTTATTTCATGTTTTTCTACTCTTATTCGAAAAGTAATTGATTTTGTTTATATTTCATATGTGAATACTGATTAGCGAGGCGCATTGTATGTCTTGTAGAAGGCCATTTGAAAAAATCATTAAGTTGAAGTTGTTTGGAAAAAAATATGTGTGTTATTTTAGGATTTTTGCTACAACTGAAAAGAAGTAGCGCGATTTTGTAAAAGTGGCAGCCATGGCTGTTCGATGGGATTTCCTATGCCATGACTTTGCTGTTATCTAATTTATTATCCTTTGCACGGAATTTTTTGTTCAAACACAATTAGTAATTTATGTTTCTGGTTGTTATCTTCAGCTATATAATATATTTAAATGTTAATGTACTCCTCTCTACAATATTTGAGGTACTAGATATAATAGAGTTCTTTGTGAAGGATTTATTGAAAACTACTCATCAATATTTGAGACCGAATTAAATGTTAATTGTTCGCAAAAGGACCAACATCAACTGAACGTTTTGAAAACATTTTATGAACAGGTCACCCATCGATTGTCTAGTATTCACTGCATCAATGGGTGGCAGGACTCGTATAGATGGCAGTTAACTACAAGGTTGTACGTCACATGTGGCCCATTGATTTGTGTGTAAATATTGCTGTTTTAAAACTTCAAATTCACTACACATATCAAACAAATATCATATTTTCCTTCATTATTATTTACAAACATGTTTTAAGATTTAAAATTGAAGGGTTTTGGATATTTTCAATCACATTTCTCTTGAGAGATTTTTCGGAGCAATTTTTACATGTTAAAGTATGCTATTAAACCCACACAATTTTTCGCCATCTATTGACAGTCCCGAGGCCTTATTCACAAAGCATCGCAACTGGAATGCGATTGCTATTGCTTCGTGATTGCGACATCGCAATTTTGGCGCGGTATTCACAATGACGTGATATCGCAATCGCATAGCAATAGCAATCGCAATAGGATAGCAATGTGTTAGCAGCTTTACTGTACAACAAGTAAAGAAAACATAGGATGGTTGAAACCAATGGTATTCGATTGATTTTCGACTCTCCGTGGTGTTAATAATAAATACTAAGATTAAATAAAATGAAATTGTTGTTATTTGTTAATGATTTTATAGACATCCATTTGGAGAACTTGTTTATTCGTTGCTATACACTGCATCGACGGTTTCATCAAACTCATCTGGTATCACCCACAAAAGCCGTCCACATGATGTCGGATTGTCGCCCAAATAGGTGTAAGATCGTATTGGCATGTCCTTGATGAAGTACGGTATGTATGTCTTGAATATAACTGGTTCATCATCAACCGTCCAAGCATGCTCAACCCCACTGCCAAGCATATACAGCTGTATGTGCCTTTCCAGTCTTTGGTTTCGTAAGTTTCACTTTAACAAATTATTATTTAACAACATGTAACGGGGTTGAGTTAAAACTGAAGTGTAATGATATACTGATGTAAGTAATATAGAACAGTGAAATGTTTCGTTTATTTGTCAAATTTTCACAAAACCATCGAATACGGCGTTGGTTGGCGATATTTACGATTGCTGACCAGTAGTTTTCATTAGAGGTTAAGAACATGACAACTACCTTCAACTACATGTATAGAGTAAAAGAACATCCTATGAATTACCCAAGGTATGATTTCCATCTACTCATTGGATATGAGTACATAAAATGATAACTCAGAATAACTGACTAATTTGTCATATTATTTTTTGTCACATTCTGGTGGGAGTTTGGGGAATTAGAATGTCCGAACCTTCCATTTATCCATTTGTATCGCCATCCAAGCGTTCCCGAGGTGAAGACCGCCTGTGGGAGATGAGGGAGTCTCACAACCTTGTTATATTGAAATTCAATATACATTCTCCTTGCATCAATAAAGCATGTCTGACCACTTGCTAAGTATCCCTTGTATACCAAGCCTGGGGCAAACAGTGAGTCATCTGAAAATGTTGGATTTGATCGGCAGTAAGTAACAGTTTTTGTTACAACACACATTTATTTCAAATGACCTTTAAACATTAACGTTCACTGAGATTTTTTCGAATTTATAAAATACGTCTCACTGTCTATTGCCTTATCTGGGTCTCCCTTTATTTATTTAATGGTCCAAACTGTCTGGTAAAACCAATCGAAAACTTTCTACTTCCCGGAAAAGACCAGTGGAAAAATGGCCTGCCATTATGGATTGCCCAGCCACGTTAAAGAAGTTCCTATGGACATTAAAGCTCTACACATTTTGAAATAAAAAATTTGCTTAATAGAATAAATCAGATGAGTGTCAATTCAATTATTATCTGAATAATTTGATGGAAGGCTTCTCAATCTCCCTGCAAGCTTAGTTTGGAGGGCCTGAGGATAATCAGATTAATAAGTAATTAAACTCGGAAAAAACGCGGATTTGAAAACAAAATTATTAAGACAGCGATGAAACCTGTAACCACCATGAAAACTATATTAGTTTACCCAAAAGATAAGATCGAAAACTTACAAAAGTCACAAGTTTATTGACAACATACCATTTCAGATTTGCCAAAAGTCCTATGTAAGGGAAACTGCTAGAATAATCCAAATGGTACAGCTCAGCTATCACCACACATGTGTGCACCAGTAACTGTACTATAGATTGGGACAATGTAACAGTTCTAGATATGGTTTATATCCAAAGAACAAGTGTACGTTTTTATAGATTTTATTACATAAAATATAACATCTTACAAAACCTTTTGGCATGGGGAGACGGCTATCTATTTTGCAATATTCTCGTGAGTGTTCATGTTCGAATCGTAATATAGACTTCAGAGCAGGGCTACTAGTTTCGAATACACCCCTTAGGTCTAGGCACAAAATCTTTCGAACCCCTCCCTCCCTTCGGTCGTACAGAAAACGTTTGTGCCTAGACCTGCGGGGTGTATTCGAAACTAGTAGCCCTGCTCTTCGGTCTATATTTCTTAAATTTTATATAAAGATGTCAGGTCAGTATAGGTGGGTACCTATGAACATGTAAGTAACACCCCAGTCACATTTTCCTACGCTCGCCTTGCGGCCTCCGTACGGCGTATCCAGTTTTTTTCAGGCCGCAGGGTCGCCGTTGAAATTATATCTTGGAGTTATAATATTTATTCATTTCTGAGGTCCCCGTAGAAATAAAAAAAAGTATCATTTATCAACAGAAATTTAAAATTCACCGTGTGGCTGCCGTGGGAAATGTGAGTATAATAATATATAATATAATATACATATTGTTAATTTTTTTTGTCTATGTGTTTTTTTGTTTGTTTTTTATTAAAAAAACATTTTGACTTCTGTAATATATTCTTACAAAGTATATTTTACACATTCACTCCATTTCACAGACATCCTTCATCATTCATTCCATATCTTGGTATCATTTTCTTTACAGTATTTTAAATACATTTCGAATTTTTTGTACACTGGTAGTTCTCGTAGCAATTTTTGATTATACAAGAAGTATATTGCGATAATTATAATCATATTTTCGTATTTGCTCCATTTTTTAGAGCCAAAGAGCACATTGTTTAAATCAAAATATTTGAGTTTTTTTCAAAATGTGTTGCTTAACACTGTTCCAAAACTGATTTGTATATTCACAAAGATAAAATAAGTGATCAATCGTTTCAAATGCGGTATGACAGAATTCGCACATTGGCGATTGTATTACATTATATATAAAAAGATCATTGTTTGTATATAAAATGCAATTTATAAGTTTAAATTGAAAAGCCCTGTGTTTAGAATACGTTAAAATGTAATGATAATACGTATAGTAAAAATTCCAGTCTTCTTCGTTTAATTCATAAGTAAGCTTTCCTTTCGCTGTTGGTTGTTCAACAATGTGTGACAATAAAATAGAATACAATAATTTTGATGTACATGTACATTCGTTAAACTGAAATATTTTTTTCCACGTACAATATCAAAATTACAGTGTTTTGCATCTAAATTGACATTATTCTCAAATACATTATTTCTTATAAGCCAAGTTCTTGGGATGGCTTTTAAAATTCCAAACCATTTCAGCATGTATCCATCAGATAGACCTGTTTGTACCTTAATCTGGTGCCATGTTTTAATTGATCATGATCCATCTATAAATAAATCTTTAATTTTTATTATGCCTCTATTGACAAATTCTTTCCAGAAGAGTGATTTATTTTGTATCGTGATTTTTTTGTTATTCCATATTATTTCCTCAGTCTGGTATATCAGTTTGTGAACGGGGCAATTCCATAAATGTTTGGAGCATGTGTATATAATACTTTGGCATATCAATATTCAATTTAGTTATATCATACTTGCAATTCAATACAAATAAGCCACCTTTTTGACGAAGGTAATAATTTGGAATGACAGTCCATGGAGGATTCTTGTTTGTATCTTTAATTAATTTCTGAACCCACTTTAGTTGGGCACTTTTAATTTTTGTTTTAAAATTACTCATTCTCAAGCCTCCTTCTTTGAAGTCGGAAATTAATGATTTCCTCTTAATTTTATCCCTGCCATTCCATAAAAATTTAAACGCAATTTCATTGATTTCTTTAAGGTATCTATCTGGTGTATCTATGACCGAACAAATAAAATTGAATTTTGATAACCCAAATGTTTTCACAATTTGTATTTTCCCTATTATTGTTAGTTGTCTAGTTTTCCACAGGTTAAGAGTTTGTTTTAAGTGATTTATCACGACTCTAAAATTTTGCTCATATTTCTTGGTTTCATCATGGTTAAAGAAAACACCCCAAACTTTTATTTTTCGAACTTGTTTAAGTGCACCAATTTTCCAAATTTCATTTTTTGATTTGCCAATAGTGAAGAGTTCAGTTTTTTCTAAATTTGTTTTCAACCCACCACAATTTTCAAAGTCTTGTAGCACTCTCATAGCTTGGTGTACAGATTCTTTATCCCTTACAAAAAGTGTCATGTCATCTGCGTAAATACTAAGTTTTATCTCCTTATCTTCCCCAATTTTAATCCCTTTGATTAAATGGTCATCTCTAATTGCTTGTGCCAGAAACTCTACTGAGAGAATAAACAGTATGGGGGACAAAGGATCTCCTTGCTTAATACCCCTTTCAATATTAAATTGTTCTCCACTAAATCCTAAATTCATAACTTTGGCATGTATGTTAGTATAAAGTATTTTAATCCAAGATTTGATATACTCGTAGTCACCAAAAGTAAATGTTTCTAATGCTTGACAGAGGAAATCATGGTTTAATGAGTCAAATGCTTTGAGGAAATTAATTGCGATTAGAGCGCCATCTGTGTTTATATCACTTGTATAAAACATCGAATCTTCAATGAGTCTTGCTATTTCAGCCATATGTCTATCTTTCACAAATGCAGCTTGATCTGATTGTATCGATTTATCCAAAAAAACTTCAATTCTTTTATAAATTACTTTAGCTATTATTTTTGGTTTTTCAAAAATAGAGCATCTCTATCTTTTTTGGAATAAGTTTCATTAATATTTCTCTTTGAGATGCTGACATTTCTTTTTTAGTGAAAGTAAAATTCATTGCCTCGATAAAAAAGCTCTTTATATTATTCCAAAAGAAAATGTAAAATTCTATTGTCAGTCCATCGCTTCCCGGGGACTTATCTAATTGAAACGTTTGCATTGTCTTGAAGCATTCTTCGATTGTTATTTCAGACTCCATTGATAATTTATCCTTAGTGGACAATTTAGGAATATTAACATTTTTAAAAAACTTAATTGTATTATTGTCGTCAACTTTTGCGTTACTTTTAGAATACAGATTTTTATAAAAGTCTAAAATGTTTCTCTGAACAGTTGAAAAATCTTTAACTATATCACCCTTTGAATTTTTAAGTCGTGTTATACTGTTTTTTGCAGCATTTTTCTTTTCAAGTTGCAAGAAATATTTTGTGCCTTTTTCGCCCTCGATAAAGTTTTGCGATCTTGATCGAATCAGTTCTCTCTGTGTAATATACTCAAATATATTTTCAAGCTCTAATTGACATTTGTAAAATTCATCTTTAATGGCCATATCATTGGGGCTATTATCAAGTTAACGTTCATATATTGTATGATTTCATACGTTGTATCTTTTTCAGAGCTTGGATTCTTAAACTTCACAATCTTATGTAACTTTATTTATGGAGCAAAATGATAATTAAATGATGAAATTTTAATGTCTCCTCTATAAGCTCGGGGGGGGGGGGTACAAAAAATATCAGAGTATGTTTTGTTACTCTTTTGAGACTCACCACAAACATCGCCCCATTCATCGCTTCCATCTGCGCAATCGACGTGACCATCGCAAACCTAAATCATATACGTACAGCACATATCAAATCATTTCCATACGCTAACCACAGAGGTACAGAGTCGTTCCCTGTTCCAGATCGTGGCCGATTACCTTGGGGTACTTCGCTTGTATTTGCGAAAGCAAATAGCGGCTGACGGCTACCGGATTAACGTACTAGTTAATGGGCAACTCGTTTATATATGAATAGTACCTGCCGCTATTCCATTCATATTTAAATGCGTTGGTCATAAAATGAAATGTTAATCCGGTAGCCGGTAGCCGCCATTTGCATTCGCGACTACAAGCTTAGTTTTAGCATGTTTAATGTCTGTTTTCGATTCGATGGCATCATATGTGTCAAGCGATGATAAATTAATATTGAATCATTGTTCCCTTTATACTACAGTAGAATAACTTTACTTAATTTTTCTTTGGTTCGATATATTTATAAACTTAAAGGCTATTAAAATTAATGATGTACCAGCATTTCATGTATGCATTCGCCAGACTCTAGACAGCGAAGGTGATTCCTTCCTTTGTCGCATTTATTTGCTAAAATTAACAATAATCAATTTTTTAAAATCAATTTTTTAAAATCGAGTACAAATTCAGTACATAATCCTTATATATTGAAAATGGTCTTCAAGGGATGGTCCCCATCTTAGTACAATTGTCCGGATCAGTATAAAAATAAAAGGAAATCGTTTTAATTAGGTTCATTGAAGATCAATGTAAAATAACATACTCATCTTGTACACGATCTCCGTATTAATCTTTGCATATTTACTGTAAATCTTCAGCCGTTCAAAATTCACTTCACCTGCCTGTGAGATTTTCTTAAACTTGTCTTCCGCCCTGAAGAATAAATTCTTAATGGTGGAATCATTTCGGTTTTCTAGTGTGTTTTGCCAATTGGGTATATGACTAGTAACCAAGTTGTATCCTGCAGTTGATATTGCGTCAGAAAGTCTGAGAATACTAGACTATATTTACAGTCGACTTTCTAAAAATTAGCAATATAAAGTCACGTTTTAATCTGAACTTCAAGATCATGCACCGTGTTGCGTTAAAACACGAATAGAGGCACATTGGAGTATGGACTTCACCCATCTCTCCATACTTTCTCGCACACAGCACACGTCTCATATATTTGTTCAACTCACAAAGTACCCAATTTGTATGAATAAAAATGTTTAATTCAGTGACATCTGAAATTTCTGATTTTTTAGCAACCTAAAATGAAGACATTAGCCTCAGTGACACCTGCTCTATTATCTTCACAAAATCGATATAGAAAATCTACATTTCACTTCTTATTCCTATATTTTACCCTGCGCATTTCCCTCGATTTTTAAAAGCAACGGCCGCCATACGGTTGCCGTAGATCAACCCTTACTGAGGCATAACCAACCTGTGAAGGCGCTCTTCAATCCCTTTGCGTTTCTGTTCCAATCCATTTGTGAAACCACCGTTCATGGGCATATGCCTCCATCTTATTCTCGGTTTATGTGCTTCAGCCACAATTTCAACAAACACAAAAACTAAACAGATATACGTATTCATAGCAGATATATGTTATGAAATGTACACGTTGCCTTTTCCTGCAACGAAAGCAACGAAAGTTTCAAAGTCCATTGTTTAATGAGAAACTGATGACATAACTTGTGTTAGGTTACGATATTTATTTAATGTTTGATTCGGCCTCGAGGAGGATTGTAAACCATTATTTAAACTCGATACCCGTTGCCTGGCGTGGAACGATTTAGTAAAAATATTTCTCTAAAGTTCTCTGCGAACTAAGTATTTCGTTGGAAGATTGATAATTCGAATATTATGCTTAAGCTTCCTCCAGTCTTCAAAATATGAGTAAAATTATTACCAAATTGCTCCACGCAAGGCAACGGAGTATTGAGTTTGAATAAGGGCTTCCGATCCTTCTTGATTCGACTTACTTTCAGAAGTTTAAAAATTGTCAAATTAATAACTAGAGATCGATCGAGACTGAAAGCAATGAAACGAAGGCATTGATGGCGTTTTTGACCTTTTAAAGGGTAAAATTGGGAAAATGTCAATCGTGAAGCAGACTACCTAGATGTCATCTCAATTTTCAAGTAGACATTGATCAGTTCCACGGCAGGGTTACGGTATCACAACGAAAGGCAATTTGCACGTATGACCAGGACGATAGGAAAATATTGAAGCGATGCTCATTTGGTGGGCGATTGGTCATACGTATAGGTTGGCGTTTCGATTTTATATGCAAGCTTAGACTTCCTAGTGATCACGAAAATAGTGGAAATTGTGCCATCACATCGTATAAAGGTCGAACCATCAAGCAAATCTTTTTGGTATCTATACACGTTGGCCGATTTGCCAATTACTAGTAATCCTTATTAGTCAATTAGTTCTTCATGTTTCTGGTTGTTAAATTCAGTTATATAACATATATAAACTTTAATGTGCTCCTCTCTATAAAATTTGAGATACTAAATATAGAAGAATTCTATTGTGAACGATTTATTGAAAAACTGCTTTTCAATATTTGAGACTAAATGAAATATTAATCGTTTGCAAAAGGTCCAACATTAACTGAACGTTTTTGGAAACATGTTATGAACAGGTCGCCCATCGATTGTCTAGAATTCACTATATCGATTGTCTAGAATTCACTATATCGATTGTCTAGGATTCACTATTTCGATTGTCTAGAATTCACTATATCAATTGGAGCTCTAGAACTTTTCGTTTATTCGTTGCTATATACTGCATCGACGGTTTCATCAAACTCATCTGGTATCACCCACAAAAGCCGTCCACATGATATCGGATTGTCGCCCAAGTAGACGTACGACAGTATTGGCATGTCCTTGGTGAAGTACGATATGTTCGCCTTGAATATAACTGGTTCATCCTCAATCGTCCAAGCATGCTCAAACCCACTACCAGGCATATATATGCTTTTCCAGTCTCTGGATTCGTAAGTCTTGCTATAATAAATCAATACTGACAATATGTATACAAAATAAATGGGGTTGAGTTAAAACGAGAGTGTAGTGATGTAATATCAAACAGTGGAGTGTTTTATATTTTTATCACATTTTCACAAAAACCATCCAATACAGGGGCATTGCATTTGATGGTTAAAGGTTGTTTTCTTCTAACACAGGAGGTGACTTATATTTACACTGGGAGATCAGTGGTTTTTATTAGAGGTTAAAACATGAAAGTGTGGCTTTAATGAACATCCTATGATGCTTTCATGATGATTTTAAATAGTTTCATGTTTATTGGTTCCTATGAATATTACTCAATATAAATGACTGTATTTTTCTCATATTCTGGTGTGAGTTTGGAAAGATAAATGCGGTTGGAATTAGTACCTTCCATTTATCCATTCGTATTCCCATTCGAGTGTTCCTGTGTTGAAAGCCACCTGTGGGAAGTGAGGTAGTCTCCTTATCTTTTCACACTGGAAGTTGAGATACACCTTCCTTGCGTCCATGAAGCATGTCTGATCACGTAATAAGTATCCCCTGTATAGCAATCCAGTGGAAAAAAGAGAGAAATCTGGAAATCATGTTGAATTTAATCCCTTAAAGCTCCTTCAGTGTGAATAGCTTTTGTTACCACATACATTTTTAATTAAGAATTTAAGCCCTGGACTCAGTGCATTGTTTGCTGAATCATACCATGAAGGTGTTGTTTGCAAATCTTTGCATGACTGCGCAGCGGGAATGCAAAGTTTAGGAAACAATGCCAGTGGAATGAAGCAGCTACAATGCATGTCTTGGGCTTAAATTCTATTCACACATTGCAAAATATTTTCTACAAAATTACCTAAAATATACAAGTCACAAAAACATATTTTCAATGAAACTTTTTGCAAGGGTCAAGTCTTGGGAAACTTCACAACACAAATAGTTTGTAGAAACATATCAAACTAAAAAAAACAAATTATACCCAAGTATACAATTACTCGCGGCTAAATCATATGTTTCGTCATATGACGATTCCAAAAATGGACCCCTAAGTAAGATGGAATATAAGTTGAGAGGAAATATCTCAAAAAGTCTCGAACTTAGGATCACCTTGATCACTTAACTTAATACAAAATATCATGGCAGAGATATTGTAGGCAATGTAAGAATGAAATAGGTGATGAGTTTCATTTTTTATTCAAGTGTAAAGTTAATCATAAATTAAGAGAGGAAATGTTTTGTAAAGTAAAAGGTATATATGATCTATTTGAGTCTTGTGATAATGAAAAGAAAACAATGTACTTATTGAATTCTAAATCACTCTGTAAATATGTTTCACATTTTTTGCTTTTGTCTTTGGAGGCTAAAGATAGATTAAAGTAAGTGTTAATTCTGACTTATCTGCTTATAATATGATTGCAATTGTTTCTCATAAGCCTTTGGAGGCTGGCCGTATAATTACGGGTGACACTGTAATAAATAAATAAAGTAAATAAATAAATATATCCTGTTTTGATCTTCTTAATTTTGGAACTCACCACAAACGTGTGCCCGTTCATCGCTTCCATCTGCACAATCGACGTGTCCGTCACAAACCTAAAATATGAATGAAATCATTATCGTACGCCAGTTACGTAGGTAAGTGCAGCGTCGATCCTCGTTCCTGATTTTGCACGACTACTTTTGGAGTACTTAGTTCTAGGGGGTACAAGCGCGTGCAGTATTTTCGTCTGGTACAAACCGAGATACTGGACGCAGTCCTCCATTTTTGATCCAGAGAGAGATAGGTGTGATTTTACTCGGAAGCCTGTGATCGTTTTACAGTGTTTCCTTATCCAATAACAGGCTCATCAGATTCCCCAGTACATTGAGGAACATACAATTCTTATAAAGTGTACGATCATATTGTGTTAAAAAGAATTGGATCCCTTGCAAAAAATAGTATGCCTAACTTACAAGGTGCTTCTCAGAGTCATTGCTCTGCTGTTCATACTTCCCTTTTAGTTCAGGAAACCATTGCCCACAATGTCGAAAAGCATAGAAATGTAATATTAGCCACATTAGATATTAGTAAAGCATTTGACACCGTTTGGTTAGATGGATTGATGGTCAAACTACATAAACTTGGTATCCGTGGCAAACTGTGGCGTATGCTTTATGATAATTACCATAAATATGAATGTGCCGTTCGTGTAGGAAGTTCAAATACACTTTCTAAACCTTTTAATGTCATGCAGGGCGTCCACCAAGGGGGTGTCCTATCTATGCTATTTTATCAGTTGTACATGGCTGACCTTATTCAGGATCTATGTGAAATGAATATAGGTGGCCACATTGATGATGTAAATTGTGTATGTCCTTCTTATGCGGATGACATGACCATTATTGCCACAAATCAAAAGGATATGCAACTTATGTTAAACGCTGCCTTTGAACATAGTAGAAGATGGCGATATGAAATCCATCCAGCGAAATGTAACTTTCTGACATTTAATGATATGGTCACTGATTCAAGTGTTAAAGGTCATGTCGTTCTCAAGATAGGTGACACGAGAATTCCAAAGGTCAATTTCACTGTTCATGTTGGTATTCCAATATCTAGTAAAAATGATATCTCACAATATGTTAATGATCGCTGCACTAGTGGTAAGCGAAAATTCTGCTCACTTTTGGGACTGGGGCACAAAACAGGTGGTTTGTCACCCTTAACAGCATCAAAACTGTACTGGGCCTTTTCTATTCCAACCATGCTGTTTGGGGCACCAGTTATAAATTACCAAGCGTCAGATGTTGAAAAGCTTGAATTGACTCATAGGGAGATTGGCAAACGTATCCAATTTTTCCCCAAAACCTCAGCCAATCCTAGTGCAACGATGCCGTTGGGATGGTTGTCAATAGACGGCTATATTACAGTGTTGCAGATGATGTATCTCTGGAGTTTACTTAGGTTTAATAATATTTACAGGGATATAACTATAACACGGTTAGTAAAGATGTTTCATGTCACTTATGACAACCATGCCGATATTTTCTCTCCTATCCGGCGCATTTTCCTTAAGACCAAAATGCTAGGAATTGAAAATCTGGTTAAAAATGCGCTGGACTCTGGATATCTTCCGTCGAAGAGGTCATGGAGACTGCAAATTGTCAATGCTGTAAGATCCGTCGAGGTCAAGCAATTTTTCTTGCAATGCTCATGTTATGGCAAACTTTTATACCTACGTGACTATGTCACAGACTTAAAACCTTGCATATGGTGGTTGATTTGTCAGAAATATCCTAAATGTCAAAGCCAGTGTAAAACTATGATGCAATTGATAGTACCCCACACACTAATTAGTCACAAACTTTAAAACTTGTTTTGAACACTTTCCCCTTATTGAATCATGATGAAATTTCACATGGACAAACTATAAACACTTTCCAACACTCAGATTTTTTTGATTTGCATGAATTTTAATTTTCAAATTTTTACAGTCATTTAAGATGAAGCACCAATTTCGCATTTTTTCACATTTTATGCTATATTTATGTATATTTGGCTTAATTCTTTGAGATGTACAAATTGAAACACTTGGATAAACT